AATAGATCTTAAAAAAAAAAAAAATAGAGGCCAGCGTCATGGCTCAATAGGCTAATCCTCCGCCTGCGGCGCTGGCACCCCGGGGTTCTAGTCCTGGTCCGGGCGCCGGATTCTGTCCTGGCTGCTCCTCTTCCAGTCCAGCTCTCTGCTGTGGCCCAGGAGTGTAGTGGAGGATGGCCCAAGTGCTTGGGCCCTGCATCCACATGGGAGACCAGGAGAAGCACCTGGCTTCGGATCAGCACTGCCGCAGCGCGCCAGCCGCAGCGGCCATTGAGGGGTGAACCAATGGAAAAGGAAGACCTTTCTCTTTGTCTCTCTCTCTCACTGTCCACTCTGCCTGTCAAAAAAAAAAAAAAAATAGAAAGAAAGAAAGTTCCAAATGAGGAAAGTGTTTTCCCTAAATTTCACATTTCCCCTGCAGGGGAGGTAGGGTGCAGAGTTAATGGCACCCAAGAGGTGCTGGGAGCGCTCAGTTCTAGCAAAGCAAAAGCACCGAACACCATTTATTTAGAAACAATTTGGTGCTTGACATTTTCCCAAAAATATCGAATTTACCATGGAAAATTTCAGAATCTTCCTAGCCTCCTTGAACTTTTTTGCAGTTGAAAACTTTAACTGCACGTGGGAAACAGCAAAGTCTTTTTGAAAACTGTTTATTTCTACTTTTATCTAGTTGAAAGGAGAGAGAGAGAGAGAGGGAGAGAGAGAGAGAGAGAGAGAGAGAGAGAGAGAGAGAGAGAGAGAATCTTTAATCCCAAATGCCCACAACAGCCAGGGCTGGACCAAGCTGAAACCAGGAGCCCAGAAGTCAGTCTGCACCTCCCTTGTGTGTGGCAGGGACCCAGGCACCTGAGCCATCATCTGCTGTCTCCCAGGATGCATTAGCAGGAAGCTGGATTAGAAGCAGAGCAGTTTCCAATATGGGATGTGGATGGTCTTTGGCTTAATCAATTATGCTGAATGCTCACACCTTTAGTACTTCTTAATTTTTTTTATCTACTTGAAAGAGTAACAGAGAAAGAGAGAGAAAAAATCTTTTAAAAAAAGATTTTATTTATTTATATGAGAGGTAGAGTTACAGACAGTGAGAGAGAGAGAGGGAGAGAGAGGTCTTCCTTCTTTTATCACTCTCCAGATGGCCACAATGGCCGGCACTGCACTGATTCGAGGCCAGGAACCAGGAGCTTCTTCCAAGTCTCCCATGCAGGTGCAGGGGCCCAAGGACTTGGGCCATCTTCCACTGCTTTCCCCGGCCATAGCAGAGAGCTGGATCAGAAGTGCAGTAGCCGGGACTCGAACCAGCACCCTTATGGGATGCTGGCACTGCAGGCACAGCAGAGCACATGTGTCCATGACACCCTTGTCATGGAGGAGATTCAGGTGCATCCTGGGAAGGCGGCTGAGCTGATGTGACATGCCAGGGGCGGTGTTGGCTGCAGGACTGGAGACAAGAACTGCGGGAAAAGCTCCCGATCCTGTGGTTCCCTACCCAACCTCCTGCCCAGCCTGAGCCACCATGAGAAATTAGAACTTTATATTTTAGTCTCCCTTGGGCTATTTTAGAGTTCATGCATTTTCCTTAGTTATTTCTTTTTCTTTAATATTAGGTAATGTGTTTTACTTGTTTCTTTAACAGGAGGCTGTCTCCACTATATTGAAAAGAACCAAGACAAGAGGACCATGGGGCAGAGCTCCTAGGGGAAAAGAGAGCCTTCTAGAGTGCCCCTTGGACAAGGGTGGTTTTCCGAAAAGCCCCTCGCCACGGCCAGCTTCATGGCACAGCAGGTTAGGCTGCCACCTGCAATGACAGCATCCCACATCAGAGCCCAGTCTGCGCCCTGATTGTCATCCCACCTCTGATCCAGGTCCATGCTAATACTACACCAGAGAGGGGCCGGTGCTGTGGCGTAGTGGGTAAAGCCTGCCACCTCCAGTGCCCACATCCCCTATGGGCACTGGTTTCAGTCCCAGCTGCTCCACTTCCAATCCAGCTCTCTGCTATGGCCTGGGAAAGCAATAGAGGATGGCCCAGATCCTTGGGCCCCTGCACCCGCGTGGGAGACCTGGAAGAAGCTCCTGGCTCTTGGCTTTAGATCAGCCCAGCTCCAGCCATTGTGGCCACCTGGGGAGTGAACTAATGGATGGAAAACCTCTCCCCCTCTCTCTCTGCCTCTGCTTCTCTGTAACTCTGCCTTTCAAATAAATAAATAAATCGTTAAATAATAATAATAATAATAATGTGAAGATAGCCCACTCATGTAGGAGACCTGGAGGGAGTTCCTGGCTCCTAATTTTTGACTTTGGCTTGGCCCAACCCTGGCTGTAGCAGCCATTTGGAGAGTAAATCTGCGAATGGAAGATCTCACTTTCCGTGTGTGTGTGTGACTCTGCCTTTCAAATAAATACATTTTCTTTACAGACAAGATTCCTGCATTGTAGGGGCCAGAGAGGAGAGGAGGAACAAGCAGACACGTGAATGAGAAAATACAAGAGCATGCAAAGTGTGTGGCATCCTAACGTGTGACCCCAAGTACCGCGTGTGATGGTCTGGGAAAGGCAAAACGATGCAGACAGTTCCCTGGGTGCGAGGGACACAGGCATGAGTAGGAGGAGCTGGGTGGGTCTCCAGAGCACCAGCCACCATGAAAGACAGAAGTGGCGCAATGCTATGGCGACGACATCTGTGCGTAGCTTGCCTCTCCGTCCAGCCCCACACATGTGCAGCGCACCTGTGGACTTCGGGTGATCACCAAGTGTCCACGAAGCTTCCTCTGCAGTGCAGGATGTTGGGAACGGGGAAGCTGAGCATGTGTGGAGCCAGGAGGGGCTTGGGGACTCCACACTTTCTGCTCATTTGCATGGTGAAGCTAGAACTTGTTCAGAAACCACATCTAAAACGGTGTGGCAGGAAACTAACATGCAATAAAGGGTTGCATGAGGGACACGCTTCCAGGAGGGGCAAACAGAAGCTCTTTTCTCCATGTTCTTGCTTTTCTCCAACTCCTCTTTCTCTCCATTCCCGCTTCCTGTCATCCACGGAGGAGGCCCGGATGGAGTTTCTGGATCGTGGCTTTGGCCCCAAGTGGATGCCATTGCAGCATTTGGGGAGCGAGCCAGCAGACAGGGAATCAATTAATCTCTCTCTCTCCCTCTCTCCCTCTCTCTCTCTCTCCCTCTCTCCCTCTCTCCCTCCCTCCCTTCCTCTCCCTCTCTCTAAAAGCAAAAATAAAAAATAGCTTTATCCCATATCCCATAACCTAGTAATTCCATCTGTAAGTACATATCCCAGAGAAATGAGCTAATACGTCTATCAAAATACATGTTGAAAAATGTTTCACAGTGATTTTGTTCATTCCAGAAAAAAAATCAGAATGACCTCAGGTGTTTCTCAACAGGAAAATCAATAATTAAGTTATGGTATAGTCTAACATTGGAATACTACACAGCAATGAAAAACAGCATGATGCTGATAAATGCAGTAAGGGTGACTCTCAAGAGGTGGAAAGAAGCCAGACAGGGGACCAGCACTGTGGTATAGCGGGTAAGGCCGTCACATGCAGTGCCGGCATCCCATATGGGTGCCAGCTCATGTCCAGGCTGCTCCACTTCTGATCCAGCTCTCTGCTATGGCCTGGGAAAGCACTGGAGGATGTCCCAAGAACTTGGGCCCCTGCACCTGGGTGGGAGACCTGGAAGAAGCTCCTGGCTCCTGGCTTCAGATTGGCACAGCTCCGGCCATTGCGGCCAAATGGGGAGTGAACTGGCAGATGAAGACCTCTCCTCTCTCTCTCTCTCTCTCTCTCTCTCTCTCTCTCTGCCTCTCCTCTCTCTCTCTGTAACTCTTTCAAATAAATAAATAAATTTTTAAAAAAAAAAAAGCCATTCACAAAACAGTACAGGTAGCAATGTACTGCTCCTTTTATATCAAGTTCAAGAACAGGCCAAGGTAACCCAGGATGACAAGAGTCTCAATAGCCATTTCCCCAGGGGCTGGACAATGAGTGGGAGGGGCATGAGGAAAATTTCTGGAATGAGAAGAATGTCCTGGATCTCAGCTGGGATGCAGTTACACAGACATACAGATATAAATTCAACAAATCATCCCATTGTACATTTTTTAAAGATTTATTTATTTTTATTTGAAAATCAGAGTTACACGGGGGGAGGGGGGTCTTCCATCCACTGGTTCACTCCCCAAATGGCTGCAACGTCAGGAGCTGCACCCATCTGAAGCCAAGAGCCAGGAGCTTCTTCCAAGTCTTGTATGTGCGTACAGGGGCCCAAGGACTCAGGCCATCTTCTACTGCTTTCCCAGGCCATAGCAAAGAGCTGGTTTGGAAGTGAAGCAGCGAGGACTCGAACCAGTGCCCATATGGGATGCCAGCACCACAGACGGTCGCCTCACCCACTACCCCACAGCACCAGCCCATAGTTGTACATTTAACACTTGTGTACTTTATGCACTTTTTTGAGTTTACCTTGGCTTTTAAATTTTTTAAGATTAAAAAAATCCAGATGATTATACAGAAAGTGTTCACAGTAGTCATTATAGAATGTTTTCATTTCTTTTATGGCTTCTTTGTTTTTATTAATTTTCCATAACCCACAGGTATGGCTTCTGTAATAATAAAAGGTATATTAGGGGCCTAGGGGTTAAATCGCATGTGCATCCCATATCCAAGTGCCTGGGTTCAAGTCCTGGCTCAAGCTCCCAACTGCAGCTTCCTAACAGATCCTGAGAGGCTGCAGGTGATGGCACAGACATTTGGATTTCAGCTTTAGCCAGGGCATTTGGAGAGGAACCTGTGATTGGAAGTGCCCCCTCTTTCTCCCTCCCTCCAACTCCCTTCCAAATAAATAAATACTTAAAAAAAAAAAAAAAAAAAAAAAAAAAGGCTGTCCAAGCCCCATGCAGCACCACACACACACACACACACACACACACACACACACACACGTGCATGAGCCAAACCCAAAACAAAGGCTGTTTAAAAACTGCATTCCAAAGCATCCGTAATATTATTCATGCATTCATGCTGCCTCTGAGAAGAGTCAGGAAATCTACACAGGGTTTATTCCTGCAGGAGAAGGAGGTGTGGGGACGCAGTAAAGAATGAAGCACCAATGGCCGAGGCCTCGCTGGCTGTGGGGGACTTTTCACAGGGCAAGGTCCCCCCAATCCTAAGTCTGCAGCAGGAGCACTTGCAACAGGAAGAATCCAGGAATGAGAATCGCCAAGTTCTGGGTCTGAATCCAGAGCCCGCCTCGGGCTAATTGTGGCCTCTGGCAAGTCATCCAGTCTCAGAAGAGGAAGGAACCTTCCAGTTCCTTCCTGGGTCAGGCCCAGGGCACGGGCTCACACCCAGGTCATGGGCAGGCGGACTGCTGCAAGGTTCTTTCCACTGGGAGCCCAGCTGAGCCGAGCCACGTCCATCTCTGGCCCCAGCAATGGCTGACCCTGAGACAGCAATTTATCTTTTTATGAAACAAACGTTCCTGTTGAATCCTCACGGAACTTCTGGTAAAATCAGTGCTGTTTTTTGTTGTTGTTGTTATTTTCCATTCTTAAAAGTAGAAAGCTGAATTTCTGAGATGTGAATGCCTTGCCCACACCGGGTATGCGGGAGAACGGGACTTGGCTTCTGGTTGTTAGACTGAGAAGCCTGCATTCTTTCCAAGGTCCGGGGGACGCTTCCTCTCCACCGCAAGCTTCCGGCAGTGCCCCCCTCTTCCACAGCGTCCCCCAATAACCCGATGGCCCTGCTCACGATGGCTTCAGGTCACTCTGCTACCCAGGAGGCATGTGGAGCCCAGACCTCTCACCCCGGGCAACCTTGGGTCAAGAGTCTTGGGGCTTCGGGTTAAAGCCGTCACCTGCAGTGCTGGCATCCCATATGGGCATGGGTTCAAGTTCTGGCTGCTCCATTTCCCATCCAGCTCCCTGCTAATGAACCTGAGAAAGCACTGGAGGATGACCCAAGTGCTTGGGCCCCTGCACCTGCGTGAGAGACCTGGCTGAAGCTCCTGGCTCCTGGCTTCGGATTGGTGCAGCTCCAGCCATTGTGGCCATTTGGGGAGTGAACCAGCAGATGGAAGACTCTCTCTGTAACTCTGCCTTTCAAATAAATAAATAAATAAATCTTTTAAAAAAATAAAAAGATTCTTCCAGCTCCACTTCCCAAGCTGGCTCCAGGGGGGCTGCCAGCTCCCCTCTGGTTGGGGGCTATGGGGGCAGTACAACTCCACCAGACCGCCCTGCTCTCCTGGGCAGGCACCCCCCCCCTCACTTTCCAGTCCCTGTCTAGAGGCTGCCCCTCCCCAGCCCTCCTTCCCAGGTCCCCGGGACACACCCCCTCCCTGCCTGCAGCGGGCAGCAGAGGGAGAGGCAGCAGTGAGCAGCCAGCGCCAAGTCCTCCTCAATAATGCATTCCTGGAGAGGCTGCAGGCACCATGCCCTCCTTCCGAGCCGGAGAGGGTCGCCTCGGCTCAGATGCTTTCCATCGAGAAGGGTGGGAGGCAGGGCTGGGGCAGTCAGTGGAGGGGGACCCAGTCAGCAGATCCACGCGGGCACCTGGCCCTCGACTCTGTGTCAGAGAGGGGCTCTGCTCTGGGCTGAGATTCGGGGCCCAGCGGGAGATCCAGGAACCCACAGTGATCCAAGGAGGTGGGCAAGGAAGGACCCACACACAGCCTTCAGCCCACTCACCTGCTGTCCGCACCTCTGCCACCCGGCCTGCTTCAGCTGCCCCTACGTGGGGAACCCCTCACCCCTAACAGCTCCCCAGCCTGAGGCCAGCGTCTTCCAGGGTCTTCCAAGGGCGGCCGGCTACCCTGCCTTCTCTCCTTGGTTCCAGTTGACAGTTCAAGCGGGAGGAAAGACTCGAAGTGACCCCTTGGCAGTGCAGCGATTCTGAGACCTCAAGTGCCAACAGCTGGTAGGAACAGTGCTCAGCCTCTGGTGAAGCAGAGAAGGTGGTAAAAGCCACCTCAGGGTCCCCATGCCCCTCCTCCACCCAGGGAAGCCCTTGGTATGCTTAGGTCCCAGCCTCACCCCTGCAGTCCATTCTGCAGAATCAGAATCACCTATCATACGCAGTGGACCCAGAAGGGAAACTGAGACCCAAGGCAAAACAAATAAATAAATAAATGTACGTGAAGCAGAGCCATGTGCCAAGCCAAAATATACTCTGGGCTGCAAGAGCGTGAGAGCTGATCACCCCAGCCTCTCACCTTCCCATCTGCCCCAGGCGCCAGGAGGCACCCCCGGGGTCCCCAGCACAGTCACAGGGTCGGGCCCAGAGTGGGCCAGAGTTGTGTCTTAAAAGCCATAGCTCGCTCCCCCATCTCTCCAGAGACCCGGTTTCGGGAAGGAGGGTGCAATCTTGCTGGGCATTGTCAGCGAGAAACTCTTCAGACATATTTATAGCAAATGCTGTGTCAGGGGATGGAGCTGAAAGTGCCTTGAAGCTTCAAATAACTGCACAGGCCCAGGGGCAGGACCTGGGAAAAGCAGACAGAGACTGCAGCAGGAGGGACTGTGGTTAGATGTGGGAAGAACTTCCCCAGAACAACACCTGCAGTTGGCAATGGGGAAACCCCGAGGAAGCTATTTCTGCAGGATGTTCTCAGACCAGAAGGACAGGGCAACTTTTCCTGTCTGAGTGGAATAGATACAAAGGGGTGGGCGTGGTAGGCTCTGTCCTGGTGGTGCACACAACCTGGTTGTGCAGGTTATACCATGCCAAGGAGGCAAGTGGAGAATGAAAGCCGGCCTTCGGTCAGTGGGGCTGTTGGCTGGTGCAGAAAGTAGCTAAGAGGACTCCTAGGGGCCCTGGAGAATATTCTGAGGTCTTGGGAGGTCAGGGCACCCAGGGAAAGGGGTAACCCTCTCACAGAAGGACTTGGCATAGGCAGCTCTGGGGGCCCTGGAGGCTGGACTCCAGGTCCAGCTCCAAGGGTGCTAGCTCCCTTCTCTGTCCAGCAGATGCAGAGAATCTTCCGTGGTCCAGCAGCTGGGATAGGAATGAGAAAAGCTGAGGAGTGTGGGGGTGCCTCTCGGATCCCCTGTGATAGCTAAGGGAGAAGTTGCTGAGATTTCTGTGTTAACATAAGCAGTGGATAGATGGCTTCCGAGGCCGCAGGTGGAGGCAGAGAGAGTGGAGGGATGGAGGATGCTGGGGACAATTGGTTGTCCTGGCCGGCACCGCCCCCCCCCCCCCCCCCGCCTCCCACTGCACCTCCCTTCTGCTACGGAAACTTAAGCTGCCCCGAGGCCCCAGGAGCTGGTCCATTAGCTGTGGTCAGCGAGCGAAGGGGGAAGAGGGGGGCCTCTTTCCCTCCCAGTCTCACTGACAAATGGAAGGCAAAAGCTTTTGCTTCCTCGATTAGAGCCCCAACCCCAAACACACAAAATCCTCCGCGCACGGTTTGCGCGTGCACACACACACACACACACACACACACACACACACGTCTTTCCCATCTCTTCGTGGTCAAGGCGGAATAATACGTGCCGGGGTGGGGGTGGGGTGGGGTAGGCCCGCCAAAGCGCTTTTCAGGTTAAACCCAAGCTAAGGACGAGCTAGGAGGGGTGGAAGGAAGAGAACAGATTCTCCCGCCCCCAGCTGAGCCCCCCTCGGGAACAGGGGTAAGTAAGGGATGCGCAGAGAGGGAGGCACCCTCTCCCCGAGATCTCCGGGGAAACCAGGGCCGGGTGGGACGCCCTGGAGGTGAAAGACCCCGCAGAGTTGTAGTGTTAGTGTTGAGGCGAAGCGGGGGCCGGGGGTCGCGGTTCGGACTCAGGTCCGGCACACGCGCGCATCGCCGCCGCCCGGCGAGAAGAGTTCAGCCTGAGGGTACCGGGGCGTGGAGGAACCAATGAGAGGTGAGTCCGCTCGGGAGGGCGTAGGGGGAGAGCCGACCGGGGCTCCGCTCCCGCTCCCCCCCTTCCCCCGCCAGAACTTGGGCTTGTCCTGTTTTGACGTGCCCGCCGGAGGGGGCAGGAGGGGGCACGACCCGAGCAGCGGGCCCGCGGCTCTGTGTGCTCCCTGCTGTCCGGACCCAGCCGGGACCCAGGCTCTGGCTGAGCTGGAACGCCCCCCGCAAGGCCAGCATGGAGGTAGGAATGGTCTAGGGCCTGGAGGGGGCGCCGGCGTCTCAGGAGCCCCAGGGGGGTGGGGGTGGGGGACGGAGTGCAGCCTGGTGTCCTCGCCTGGGGACCCAAGTTCTAAGTAACAGGAAAGAGACAGGGGCTAGTCCGGGTCTGGATGCGAGCCGGGGGACCCTCTGCTCCGGACCAGGACAGCGCCCCCTGCCGGCAGGGCTGGGAGAGCCCAGGGGGCGCTGCAGCCGGTCGGGAAGGAGCCGCCTCCCCGCGCTTCGTCCTCCTCGGCAAGGCTGAAACCCGCGGTGCCAGAACTCAGGACACTGGAGTGGTAGTGGAGACTCCCCGGGCGCGGGGCGCATCCCGGCCTGGGCTTTCGCCTAATGGATCCCGCAGGAACCACGGGGGGCCGGGCTTGGGAGGGCTGGGTGGACGGACGAGGCTTCCCTGGAAGCCTAAGCGGAACACGCGCATTCTTCGGTTCTCTCCCCCGGGACCGCGGTGCGTTTCTCTCTCCGGGTCTGGAGGATGCGCGCAGGGCGCGCGGAGGGGAGGCTGAGATAAGACAGAACCCTCCGCCTAGGGCGCAGGTGTTCGGGCAGCCTCGGAGCCCTCCTGCGCCCCAAGCTTGCCCTGTCTGAGGAGGGGAGTTGAGGAAGCAGCAGAGGGGGAGGGGAAGATGGGGCTGGAAAGGCGGTGAGGGAGGCATCCAGATAAACAGAGAGTGGGTATCGTAGAGACGAGAGACGGAAGTGGAGAGAGGCTGGACCGAAAGGCAGAGCGAGCGAGAGACTGACAGAAGCAGCGAGAGAGGAAGGGAAAGGGAGGGAGGGAGGGAGGGAGGAAGGGAGAGGGAGGGAGGAAGGGAGAGGGAGGGAGGAAGGGGGAGGAACCAGGAGAGAGGGAAGGGAGCCGGCGGCGGTGCCGGCGGTGCCGGGCGGGCGAAAGGCGAGGCCAGGCGTGCAGGCGGGAGCCAGCGTGCAGAGCAGCGGCCGGTCCCGCTCCCGCCTCGGAGCCCCTGGCCCGGGGGAGGGGGAGAGGCCGCTACCCGGTTTATGTCTTTTTCTGACTCCAGTGCAACCTTCCTGCTGAACGAGGTAACCGCGGGGGCCCCTCCCCAGTGGGTGGGAGGAGAGCCCCGCCCCAAGCAGGAAGAGGGCTCGCTTTTGGGGGGAAGACTGCCGCATGGGGAGGGAGGGAACCAGAGAAGCCAAAAGCACAGGTTAGGCGAGGAGGGAGGGGCCGGAGCTGGCGGTGCCAGCGACTGGGAGGGGAGAGCGGACTGCTGAGCCAGAAAGGGGGGCTTGATTAGAAAGAGAGCTCCACGAAGCCGCCCCGCCCCCCCCCCCCCAGTTCCCTGGGGACCACTGAGCAGCTAGAATGCTAAGGACCTCTACCTGGTCCAGATCTGCAGGACTGCTGAGGAGATGACTTTTAGGTCTTCCCAGAAGTCCCAGTGCCTGCCTCAGTTTCCCCCTCGAATGCTCAGGACCTGGGATCTGCCCAGCTTCCTGGTGTGGTTACAAGAAGCGCTAGAGGTATTTTGGAGCCTCCCCAAGAATTCTCACTCCCAAACCTGGCTCTTTGGGCGCTTCCTCCCATTGACCGGCTTCCATGCCTTGGGTAGTGCCAGCTGTCAGTTTAACACCTGTCTCTTAGAAAGACTGCAGGAAACGTCCTCTCCCCTAACCCCCCCCCCCTTTTTTGCATTTAGCCCTCACCCATCATGCTAAACCATGGACCAGAAAAGAAGTTAGGGACCACATGGATGCTGACACATGTCTTGTTAAAGGATGGGAAGTCATTAGGTTGGCCTGAGAACCAGAGTAGACAGATGTGGGTGAGACTTGAAAGGGGCGCTGGGTAGCAACCTGGAGATATGGGGAGGAGGGAAGGAAGGTGAAGGGAGGCTTTGGAACTCCTGCAGGACCCAGGGGATGGACCCAGAGGAACTTAACCCATCTCCTGAGGGTGGCTGCCATGGCAACGCAGTCTCTTGGGTACCAAAAAGGTGTATGAAGAAGGGCTGCTGATGGCAGATCCACCAGATCTACAGCTCGTTGGATCTCTGGTGGGTGGGGGGAGTCCCAAAAAAGAGAGACCAGGAGATCCAGGGACAGAGAACGCCATTAGAACCACCTCCCAGGAGTCCTCCAGCAGACTCCTCCAGCCCTGTAGGATGGAAGGAACTGACGCGAGAGAGAATGGAAAAGATACAAGGAATCCTAAAGGAATCGAGAGAGAGGGCACAGTCATGTCCATATACGATCAGCCCCTCCCCTGCCCCCCGCAGGAGCGAGCGGGAACTGTGAAAGCCGAGCCACCGCCTCCCCGAGTAGCCACCGCCCCCCTTGGCCGTCAAGGCGTCCAGGTTGTTCCCCCAAATCTAGCAAGAGGAGAAGGCCGGAACTGCCACAGGCACAGATAAACTGAAGCAGGCCCGAGAGAGTCTCAGGACGAGGCAAGCAGGACACCTGTCCCCCCCCAGCTGGGGCTTGCTGCCAAGGCGGGGTGTGGCCCTGGTCCCCCACCAGGGACTGGGGACGCTCGCCCCTTTCTCCCCTTCCCAAGCCTGTGTGGCAGGCAGGATCGCACCTTCGCCCCCACCCCTCCTCGTGGGTTCTCCTAAAACAGCCCCTTCTGCCCCAGTTCCCACGAATGCCTTTGGCCATGTCTGGCACCACCCTTGGCAGGGAGATGAGGAAGGGAACCTGCATCGTGGCTGCAAAGGGGTGAAATCCGCCGTGCAACAGGTGCGCGGAGGCCTATCCAGCTGCCAGAACCTCGGCCCTTCTCCAGGGTCGGGCGACCCCGCCCCCCAGCTGCGCGGCCCCGCACTGCGGGGCCCGCGCGTACGGGCTGGGGACTGGGGTGGTTGCTTCCACAGCACTGGCCTGGGGTCGCCAAATCCCTTCCTCCGCGGTTGCAATGCAAGGTTTGGCTTTCGGAGTCTCCTGGGACGCGCCGCCATCTCACCTGGGCCCCCTCCCCCGCCTGCCGCTGCCCGGTCTCTCCGTTTTCTGGTCCCCGGTTCCGCTCTCCAGCCTGCGGCCGCCCCAGCGCCCGAACCCCGGCCCGCGCGGGTCGCTGCCCGGCTCCGCTCGGCCCCTTCCCCGCCCCCGCCCAGCCCTTTGTTTCCCGGCGGAGCAGTTTCCTGGGTTGCGGAGCGTCTGGGAGCCCGCAGCGCCCCTCGCCCCGCCTCCAGCCCGCTCGGATCCGCCCGCCGCCTCTCCGCCCCTCCCGCCCGCCGCCCCGGGCCCGTGGGTGCTCGGGGACCCAGCTCCCGTCCGCGCCCTCCCGCGGCCCAGGCCCGGCTGCCCCCCGCGGCCACGCCGCGCCGCCTTCCCGTGAGGGCCGGGTGGGCGGGCGCTATTGTTGCGGAGCCGGCGCCGACTCCTTGGCGGCGCTCGGGGTGGGCCCGCGGGTGGGGGGTGGGCAGCTGCGGTGCGAGCCCGAGCAGGCGTCTCGGTGGCAGCTCCGTCCCCGGCGCGCCCGCCGCCGCCGCCCGCAAGGCTGCGGGGCTCGCTGGCGTCCCTCGGGCGCGGCCCTCCGTCCTCGCCCCTGCCTCGGGGCCGCCCCCGCCCCGGCGCCGCTCGCGTTCCCGCCCGGACTCCCCATGTATGAGGACTCCTACGTGCCCGGGTTTGAGGACTCGGAGGCGGTGAGTGCCCACGCCGGAGCGGGGGTGGGGGTGGGGGGTTGGGGCGACACCTGGGGCTCCCTGGGCCCTTCCCCCAGTTCGGGACTTTGACAAACGCCTCAGTGGCGGGGCAGGGCGTGCAGGGGGCGCTCTGGGAAAGCGGGAAGACAGATTCCACGCCGAGGGCGCCCGCCCGCCCAGACCCGGGGGGCCGGGGGCCCTTGTGGCGCAAGGCTGGAGCAGGTGGCTCCGCAGCCCAGCACGGACGGGGTCGAGGGAGGGAGAGAGGCCGGAGGCTGAGGGCGCAAGGGTTTCCCGCGACGTCTGGAGTTTCAGATTCTGGATTGATGGGGGCTCTTGGGCAGGGGGCCGTGCCACACTTTATGTGCTGTAAATGAACGGCACACCAGGGACCTGAGGGTGTCGGGTACCAAGCCGTCTCCTCAGAGGATTGTAAAACTTGAGGCGGCCCAGTGTCTCCTGCCCGCCCCCGCTGGCGCATCACCATAGCTCACCCCTTCCTCTAGCCCGTTTTCTCTCCTGGGCATCCAGCACCCTGGGGGGTGGGGGGGGGACACCTGATTGCACCCCCACCCCATGCCCAGTGCCCAGCTGCGGCTTGCCTGCCACCCAGCACCTATGGAGGGCCAGGCGGTGAGGCCAGAGGGGCTGGAGGGGGCCCGGGGCTTGGATAGGAAGCTCTCTTGGCTCAGAGAAATCAGGCAGCCGATAAATATTTAATTCTCTTCTTTGCTTTTATCTCCTGACCCACTGAGACAAATCAGCTCATTAGGCAGTGATTCCCGGAGCTCAGGGAGAGTGCCTGGAAAGATAGGGCCCAGAGTGGGGCAGCTTCTAAGCCCCCCTTGGAGCTGCCAACCCTGCCACAGCACCTCCTGGGAGAGGTGCTGGTGGTCGTGGGCCGCAGCCTGCCTCTTCAAGCCTCCAGCCTTCTCTTGCCTCCAAGCCCAGGATGGATGAGTTGCTAAGGGGCAGAGCTGGCAGAGCTGGCAGTCCTTGCCTGGGACCTGACTGCTCCTGGGGCCGGTTCTCCCAGGGGGACCTCTGGGGCTGATTGCACAGCAGCTGCAGTGCAAGGCTCTGGTGGACACTTCTCTCTGACACTTGAAGGGGACAGCTGGCACAGCCCAGGGTGCCAAAGTGAGCTCTCTGTAGGGCTCGAGGGCCTTCACGGGACAAGATAGACACGTGGACGGCTGTCTGAGGGTGAGCCTGCTGCCTTCCCAGCTGTCTCAGCGTCCTGGATCACCCTCTTCCCCCCTCCCCGCCACTTCGCCTCCTCTCTCCTGGCTCCTTGCTCTCTCCCTGAGGCCCCCTCTGAAGCAGTAGGAGGGAGATCAGTCTCTAAATAAATCCACCGGCTCATCTCCCTCCTCTTCTTCCCCCGTGCCAGGCGAGAGGAGCTGCAGCCTGCCCACACACTCACCAGGCAAGGGGGGCACCACCCGTGCCAACTTCTGACAGCTCCAAAGTGCTGAGCCTTTGGCTGTTTTGCCGTAGTGGGGTAGAGCAGAGGTAAAAGATGCAAGAATGGGTTTGCTACGCAGCCCTGGCCATAGCATAGCGTGAGAGGTGGGTGAGCCTTGAGGATTTGGGAGTGGAATCATGGATGGAGGAGTCCCTTCTGAGTATAACTCCGAAACTTGTCGGGAGAGCTCCTGTGATTGCCACTGGAAGGTGAGAGGTCAGGTAAGCCAGACGCACCCTGCACTAAAGTTACCCAGTTAGGCTGAGAGCCCTACAGCAGAAGGAAAGCCGAGGCTCCTCGCCCAGCACCTGCTGGGCGTCTGCAGTCTCCGATGTTTAGGCGCCAAAGTGAGTGGCCGTCCTGCCTCTGCCTCCCAGCCTGCTGGCCACTGTCCAATTCAGCGTGGCCCACAGAGCTGTTTCGCGTGTCCTGAGAGCCCTGGAAGGGGGTCTTCCACCACATCCAGCGGTTTCAGCACAGCGTCTTTCTGTCCCGCTGCCAGACCAGTCTTATTTTGTTCTCAGGAAAGATGGACAGCCGCAAGCACGCTCTACTCATCTATAAAATTAAAGACCGCCCCTCCCTGCCCCTCTATGCAATCTTCACATCTTTGGTCTGCTCCACACCATCATTTAGGCTCGAGGGCCTGCCGTGCCTCCAGCTCTCTCACCTAGGGTTGGGCTGGGGCAGAGAACGTTATGGGCAGCAGATGTGCAGTTTTGCCTTCTCCCCTGAGAGTCTGGCCTCTGCCCCCCCCTCCCAGAAAATCATCATGCACAGTAGCCTTGTGGGAGTGGTGCTCACCCTGAGAATATGCCAGAACCCCTTCCCCTACACACACACCAATACACACACACACACGTGCACACACATGCACGGACGCAGGAACCCTTTATCTAGTTTCCTGCTTTCTCTGCTACCAGCATCCTAGAATTAAGGGAAGAATCACTTTAGGCTTCTGCTCATAGCTGAGGGGTGGGGGTGTGTGTGTGCAGCACTGAAGCAGAAAACACAAAATTCCCTTTTCTCTGGGCAGAGGGAAAAACCCAGACGATGTAAATTCCAGCCTCTTGCCTCCAAGCCCGGCTTCTCTTGCTCTTTAGTGTCTCTCCCTCATGGCCTCAGACATGGCACACACAAACACACACATAAACCCTGCCAACCTCCAAATGTACCCTCATCACCCACAGACCCTGCCTATGGGCAGGACTCTGGGACTCGCCTTGCTGACATTACAAAGACTCCCCCTCCCCACATCCCCAGGGTCCTGGTCCTCGGCTGGGTTGCCTGGCACCAACCTGGCACTGGTGTCCCCTGGCGAGAAGATAGCTTTGTGTTGCCTCACGGTCTGTGTCTTATTCGCTGCTAACACCTGACCCGGTTACCCCAGCAGGTGTAAAAGGAAAGAATGTTCGTGGGGGTAGGGAGAACAGAAAGGGCAGTGAGTTCCAGGAGGTACCAATGCCCTAGTCTTTACTTCTCCTCACCCTGGAAGGGCGGGGGCCTTTGGAGTCTTGTTGGAGGAGGGAAGTGGGATGGAGGGGGTGACTGTCTATTTCATGTGCCTGGGAGTGCAGCTTTGGAGGCTGGCATGAATGATAGGCTGCGAATCCTGGATTCAGAACTATCTCCAATATATCATGTTTTCAGTACATCTGCCTCAGAGCACGTGGTGGGGAAATGAGAGAGGAAGGAGAGACGTGGAGTGTGTTCAAAGATGGTCTTAGGCTTGGAGGAGGAGGGGCCCCGATCTTTGCATTCGTAGATTGCACCATCTTTCCTGCAGCCTTGGGGACCTGGGGGTCCTTCCAGGGGCCGGAAGAACTCTAGGAGTCCAGTCACCCCTAGGAGGTGGCACCCCAGAGTTAGGAAGCCTGCAGGCCTAAGTCCCGGAGTCTCGCCTCTCTCCTTCCCCAGGGTTCAGCCGACTCCTATACCAGCCGTCCATCTCTGGATTCGGACGTCTCCCTGGAGGAGGACCGGGAGAGTGCCCGGCGCGAGGTGGAGAGCCAGGCTCAGCAGCAGCTGGAAAGGGCCAAGGTATACCTCTGGGCAGGGTGGGGCAATCCAGGAAGCCAGCTGGGGGAGGAGGGAAGGAACCCATCCCGGGGCTTGAGCTCCCAGGGGCATCAGGCAGCTTGGAAGAGGATGTGGGGCGGGGTGGGGGACACTGAAGCTGGCTGGGTGCTCAGAGACGCCTCTCACTTGCATTCCTGTGGCCGAATTCTCCAGCACAAACCGGTGGCGTTTGCCGTGAGGACCAATGTCAGCTACTGCGGTGTGCTGGATGAGGAGTGCCCAGTCCAGGGCTCGGGTATCAACTTTGAGGCCAAAGACTTTCTGCATATTAAAGAGGTGACTGAGCCCACTATCCACACACACCTTGGGCCCTGGTGTTCCCCTCCCCCACCCCGCGCCTGTCTCAGACCACAGTCCCCAGAGCTGTAGAGTGAGCAGCTGTGTTAGCAGCCCCTGAAGTCCCCTGTGACTGCTGGGGTGCCTCATCCCGAAATCCTGGTGGCTCAGGCTCCAAACTGGCTGCCACCTTTCTCAGACCTCCCAGCCTCCTTCCCAGGGAAGAGCTGCCTTGAGCCCTGGGCCCACCCCTCTCACCACCCCTTCCTGTCCACCCCCTCCCCAGAAGTACAGCAATGACTGGTGGATCGGGCGGTTAGTCAAAGAGGGCGGGGACATCGCCTTCATCCCCAGCCCCCAGCGCCTGGAGAGCATCCGGCTGAAACAGGAGCAGAAAGCCAGGTGAGAGCCAGGCTGACCCATGAGCATATAAACGTATCACCCCCAAAACACACACATATATATCACATCTGTATCAAATGCATGCACTCATCCCCAGCTCCATGTGTTTACACCACACAAAGAAACGCACACGCATCACACATACACCTCTCTCACTAAAGCATATGGAAGTTTGGGCAACTATTAAATGTTGTTTAGAACACACACACATGTGCGCACACACTTGCACACACACACACTGATGCATTCTCTCTCCCTTGCTCTCTCTCCACTCAGGAGATCTGGAAACCCTTCTAGCCTGAGTGACATTGGCAACCGACGCTCCCCTCCTCCATCTCTAGGTAGCTGCCCCCCACCCCACCTGTCTTGGGTAGGTGGGCAAAAGGAGTCTCTCCAGTGAGCTGCTGGGGAAGGGGCTGGCGGAGGGGACTGAGAGAGCTGGGAGGAGCCCGCTGTCTCCCTGGGGAAGGGGCTGCCACTCCCTCGCCCCCCTCAGGGCCCATTCCCCCCTTCACCAACTTTAATCTCTTATTTCCTTTTCCAAAAAGCCAAGCAGAAGCAAAAGCAGGTGAGTGGAGGAAGGGGCCTGGGCTGGGGGCTCACGGCTTAGGGCTCTGGGCAGTCACAGCTGGAGGGGCAGAGCGGAGAAGGGAGGGAGCCCAGAACTTCTGCCCTCAGTCACTCACCAGGCACCAGGCAGGTCTGGGGCCGTGATGTTGTGGGATTGTCCATTCTGCAGGCAGAACACGTTCCCCCGTACGATGTGGTGCCCTCCATGCGGCCTGTGGTGCTGGTGGGGCCCTCCCTGAAAGGCTACGAGGTGAGAGGAGACCCCTGACCCCAGAGGGTCGCCATCAGGGGCGGGGCGGGGCAGGGTGGGGGGAGGCAATGGAAAGGGCTGCTCACACCGCCCCGCCCTGGAGGGGGTGTGGCTTTTCCTAATGTGGCCCTGTCCTCCCCGTCCCAGGTCACAGACATGATGCAAAAGGCCCTCTTCGACTTCCTCAAACATAGGTTCGATGGCAGGTAAGCTGCCCCAGCCCAGGTGCTGGGAGGATCTGGCAGAAGCTTGCTGCCCTCCTTCCGGGGGCCTGTGGCATGTGTTGGAGTGGGTGGGCTCCGGGGTCAGAGGTGGCCTGCGCTTCCGCTCCACCCTCACCCCTCCCCTCCACCAGGATCTCCATCACCCGTGTCACCGCTGACCTCTCCCTGGCCAAGCGATCCGTGCTCAACAATCCTGGCAAGAGGACCATCATTGAGCGCTCCTCTGCCCGCTCCAGCATCGGTGAGAGCCAGGCATCTCCCGCCCCTCACCTGCCTCCCCCTCCTCCTTGTCTTTCCGCCCAGCTCCCTCCCTGCCCTGGGGATCAGCAAAAGCCCACCACCTACCCCATGCCCTCTCCCTCTCCCTCCAGTTCCTTCCCATGCACCCCCTGGAAGCCCCCAGAGCCCCCTGTGAGCCCGGCTGCCTCCTCCCCCCCCTCAGCCGAAGTACAGAGTGAGATTGAGCGCATTTTCGAGCTGGCCAAATCCCTGCAGCTGGTGGTGCTGGATGCCGACACCATCAACCACCCAGCACAGCTGGCCAAGACCTCGCTGGCTCCCATCATCGTCTTTGTCAAAGTCTCTTCACCGAAGGTAGGGTCTGCAATGGGGGGAGGCAACAGGGGTCCACAGGGCTGCCCCCTGGAACGTGGCACACCTGCCTAGGGCAGCTGCTTATCACCATTGAGGCCTCTGCACCTGCTACCGAGGCTGCATCAGTGTGTATGGGGGACACTCCAGGCCTAGTTCTACCTGCCCCTGTTCCTCCCCCAGGTCCTCCAACGTCTCATCCGCTCCCGGGGAAAGTCACAGATGAAGCACCTGACAGTACAAATGATGGCGTATGACAAGCTGGTGCAGTGTCCACCAGTGAGTGCCCGGGCCGGCTGCTCCTGGGCCCGCTCTTCCACAGGGATCACGGGGGATGGCAGGGGTGGGGGTGTGGCTGCCAATGGGGATGCCAGGAGTCTCCCTCCCTCCCTCCCTGCCTGCCTAGGAGTCATTTGATGTGATCCTGGATGAGAACCAGCTGGAAGATGCCTGTGAACACTTGGCCGAGTACCTCGAGGTGTACTGGCGGGCCACCCACCACCCAGCCCCCGGGCCTGGGCTCCTGGGCCCCCCCAGTGCCATCCCTGGACTCCAGGTAAGCAGTTCTAGCTGGCTCGGCCCCGCCACCAGAGAAGGCCTCCCCTTCAGAAGGCCACAGGCCTGCAGAACTATCAGCTCTGCTGGACAGAGCCAGTGCAGATGGGCCCAGGAGCCTCCTGAGGAGAGAGGGAATAAATCAACCTCCTGGGTGGTCAGAGATGCACTTTCTAGGGGTCAGGAGATACACAGTTTTGATAGTCTTCCCCTTACCACCCACCATGGTTTTGAAGGCAGAGTCTCAATGTTGCCGGAGCCATGGCTCCAGGTTTCCGACTCTGATGAGGAGCCATGCTTCCTCGCAGGGTTTCCCGTTCCTGGGAATTGAGAGTTGAGTGGGGGTGGGGGGCCGAATCCCTCGCCCTGCCAGAGGTGGAAGGCAGGCCAAGGCCTTCAAGGTGTGTGCTGCCTCCCTGAGAGCTGTTGTGTGGCCCCCAGAGCCAGCAGCTGCTGGGGGAGCGTGGCGAGGAGCACTCACCCCTGGAGCGGGACAGCCTGATGCCCTCAGACGAGGCCTGGACGGGGTCCTCCCAGCGGAGCTCACGCCACCTGGAGGAAGACTATGCGGACGCCTACCAGGACCTGTACCAGCCTCACCGACAACACACCTCGGGGCTGCCCAGTGCTAACGGGCACGACCCCCAAGACCGGCTCCTCGCCCAGGACTCGGAGCACAACCACAATGACCGGAACTGGCAGCGCAATCGGCCTTGGCCCAAGGATAGCTACTGACAGCCTCCTGATGTTCCCACCCTAGCGGGCACAGGCACACCTAGCTGGGGTACCCACTCCAAGCAGGCCGGAGTTAGACTGGCATTAGGCTGGCGCTAGGCTCAGCCCCCACAACCCCCTGCCCGGCCCCAGCTCCCAAGGTTATGGGAGAAGCAGGGGTCCCTCTCCCTCCTGGGCACAGTGACCACCCCCCCACACCTCGCCCCAGGCTCCCATTCCAGGTACTAGCTGTGTGTGCTGCACCCCTGGCACCTTCCTCTCCTGCACAACAAGTTGCCCCTCTGGGCAGCACCCTCAGGCCAGGATCTCCTTAGCAGGGGCCTTCCCACCTCTCAGGGAAGGGAGCCGCCTCAGAGTGACAAGAGGCTGGGGTATGGGCACCATGGCACGAGGACACAAGGTTCCTGAGCAGGCACAAGTCCTAACAGTCAAGGGACTCGGGGGTCCAAAGGCCTCCACTCTCACCTCACTGCCACACACAAGACATGAGACAATCAGAGCCAGACAGGTGGCACTCCCGTCAGCTGGGGCCGGGGGCCTCCACATCTGAGACTGGAGCGGCAGGCAGGCTAGGCTGGGGCCCGAGAAAGACGTCACGGCAGATGCTCTTGGAGGAAAGGCCTCTCCCCACCCTACCTGGAAGCTTCTCGATACCTGTCAGGACCAGGGACCAGGAGCGTGGTCCGGCTGAGAGCAGACGGGGCCGGCCTGGACTGGACTGCGGCTTGTGGAGGGCGGGCAGGCTTGGGTAGCAGAAGACGTTAACAACAGCTTTGGGGGCCTCCCTGCCATCCTCATTCCTTCGCCCTCGCATCCCGTCATTTCTGTCCTCGCCTTTCATGGCTCCTGGGAGACCGGGGCTCCAGGCTTTTCTCCCTGACTCACAGCTGCTGCTTGCTAGGTTAGGGCTGAGTAGGGAGCAATGGGGACACAGTGGACAGCCCCCGAGGCCCTGTCTACCCCTATCCTTGCCTTCTGGCTCTTGTGTGTGACCTTCAGAGCATGCTCCACGAGACCCTGCCCAACCTTGCTGTCATCACGAATAAAACACCATGCACAGTCCGCCAGCCTTCTGTTCTGTTTGCACAGGTAGCCATGTTCTGTTCCAGTGTGGCCAGGTAGAGTATTCTGGTCTCGCTTCTCTCTCCAAGGAGCCACTGAGAGCTGAGAGGCAGGGCTGGGGGAGGCACTGTAGTCCCCAGCACCCCCTCCACACCTCATGGCCGGGTATCTGGAGGGACTCCAAGATGCCGGTTCTGCGAGGTGGGGAAGAGGCTTAGTCACAGCTTTCCACTGTCCCTGCCTCAGGCCAAAAAAAAAGCCCTGGACATAGCTGGAACTTGAATTCCATGGACTTGCCAAGCTCTTTCTGAGGACTAAGGAAGAGCATACTAATGGTTGGGGGGCAGGGAGGTAGGAAGGGGACCACAGCCCTCTCAAGACCTCCCTCAACTGGGCCCTGCTCAGCACCGTGATGCCTCTGGCACCTGTCTCTTCAGTGAGCAGTAGCCCCAGCCCCTGGAGAGCCAATAAGCAAAAGCTCTGAGATGTGTGTGAGGCTGCGGCAAGACCGGCTTGCCCCGGCTTCTACACCTGTAGACGTATGACTGCTGGCAAAGACCCGGTTCTCCTGTCCTGTGTGGTGGCAGGGAGAATCGGCTAAAACTAGACACAACCTTAATATTCCCATATTTATTCTCAGAACATACAAACTCATCTTCTCAGAGAATAGAAAACAGAAACTTCACTCAGTGACTTAAAGATGAACACAGCCAGCTCACCCTGTCCCCACATCTACTAAAAATTCCCTGGGGGAGGAATGCCTGGAGTGCACAGCACCCCTGGGCCTGGGGACATGCAGTCCCAAAGGCTCTCAACTTGCTCTAGAATCCAAGTGGGGAAGCAGCTGTCAAGATGAGAGTCCGAGCTCCACAGTCCTCACCGTGCCAGAACCCCCCAACCCCCTCCCCGGGTCATCTAGGGCCATGACGCTGCTGCAGCTTCCAGTCACAGTCCCACCTGTGCCAAAGGAGGGCCCAGCCAGGCAGCCAGGCTCTCACCCAGGACAAGGGGCAGGGATGGGTAGTGCCCACTGCTGCCCCCATGACCTGGCGTGAGCGGACAGCCCAGAACAATCACAAAGGCCCCCGGAGGGGCAGAGCAGGGCCACACCGGTGGTGACTTCCTCCCCTCTTGCAACACCATGCTCAGGCCTCCAGAGTGGAGGTCTGGGCCAGGCGGTCTGACTGTCACCCAAGCTGCCAGGACCCAGGGTTAAGAGTCTGGAGAGAGGGATAGGAGGCACCCGGCAGCTTCGGCTCATGCCCTTAGGCCTACGGGAAGAGTGCTGTGTCAGGCAAAGATGGTCTCTTCCCGGCGCTTCTTGGTGAGGATGGTGCCTGGCTTGTGCTGGGCATCTGGGTGGTTGGCCAGCTCGGGTGGACAGGAAGACACTGGGCTTTCCAGGATGGCCTGCTTCAGCTCATAGAACACAGCGGAGTCCTCTTTGGTGAGGAAGGTGATGGCCACGCCACTCTTGCCTGCTCGCCCAGTGCGGCCGATGCGGTGGATGTAATCTGGGGAACAGGAGGGGCGCCCCTCAGTCTCCACTTCTAAGGCCGCCCCCTCCCCAGCACTGAGTGTGTCCTGCACTGCCTGACCAAAAGCACCTGTGGCGCTTTCCCACGGGTACCCATCTCCCTGTTCCCACGGCTGGCTGTGGTCAACCACTGCACCACATCCGGCCACACCAACAGCCGCCCAGCTTCCTCCCTCCCCACACCTCTACCACAGAGGCTGGACAAGTCCAGGTAAGGTAAAGTGCCAGAGCTCTGCCCACTGAACAAGTGACTCCAGACTTGGAGCCGTGAGAGATGGCAGCAGTGGTCTCCCCAGGGTGGCACCGTGACTTTGCGTGGGAAGTGGCAAGGAGTCCTAATTCCCCCCACTTACCTAATTTCCCCCACTTACCTTCAATATTTTTGGCCATATCGTAGTTGACAACCATAGATACATCTTGGATGTCGATACCACGACCAGCCACATCGGTAGCCACCAAAATATCCTTGGCACCGGCCTTGAGGTTGGACAGAGCGAACTCTCGCTGTTCCTGGCCTTTTCCACCATGCAATGTACACGCATTGTACTGTTGGGAGACAACAGTGGGGTGAAGAGCCAGCAACGGGAGCATGAGAAGACATCCAAGAAAGGACGGAGACAGATGGGGAGGGCGGGGCGGGGGGTGGCAGGGCAGGAGAGAGGGAAAGAATAAGGGCTCCTGAGAGGGAGGAGGAAACAGATGAGCTCAGGAAAGTGGGGGCAGACACCAGTGGGGGGCGGCGGGGACAGACAGGGTAAGGACAAGGACAAAGCCATCTGGGGTGAGACAGGGAGTCAGACAGCTGAGAAGGACTGGGGAGAGAATCAGACGGAGATCAGGGTAGAAGTTCAGGGAGATAAGAGCAGGGTGGCGAGGATGCACCCTTCCTTCAAGCCCCAGCGCCAGCAATAGCGGACATGGTTAGCAACGCTGCCCCGCTGACACCATCACATCCCTTCCCAAACGTCTGCAGACACTGCTTTGGCTTGCTCTGTTCCACGTGCCCAGACTCTGTCAGAATGCGGGGCCCATCTCTCATGGATGAAGACCCCAGGCAGCGTTGGCTGCTGCTGCTGGAACGGACAGGGTCCTCCATGTCCCTCTGGCCCTGAGTGGGACTGAAAGCCCAGGCCCTGAGGACCCCTCTAGTGTCATTGGTGGTCTTTGCAGGCCGCCCTCTGCTCTCCCCTGCCAGACATACCCCCATCTTCTCCAGGGATTTGGCCAGCACATCGCAACCCTTCTTCTGGTTGACAAAAATGATGATGGGCGGGTCAAAGCCTTGCTCCAGGATTGCCAACAGCTTCTTCCTGGGGAAAGGGGCACGAGAGGAAAGATGAGATGTGATGCAGCAGCCACGCCAGCGAAGTGCCCGCCCCTGACCCAAGAACAGGAGCTGAGGATCAGCAAGGCCCTTGGCGTCCTGGAGAGCAGCTCCTCGACACGGCCCTGCAGGAAGTTCCCTCTCAACCTGGTTGCCCCCAGGTCAGCTGTCTCCGTACCTCTTCTCTGACTCAGACATGAGGAAGACCTTCTGTTCCACCCGCTCGTGGGGCTTGCCGGCAGAGCCAATGTACACCACAGCAGGTCGCCGAAGATAGCTCCTGGCCAGACGCTCCACGGCTGGGGGCATGGTGGCCGTGAACATGACTGTCTGTGGAAACAGGAGGCTCAGCTCTGGGCCCCAGCCGGCATACCCGACCATGTCTGCAGGCAGCCTAACCCAGGCGAGGCAAGCTAAAACGAGGGAAGCCAGCAGGTGGTACAGCAGTTAAGATGCCACCCGGGATGCCCGCATTCGTTACTGGAGTGCCCGAGTGTGGCTCTACCTCCTTCTAATGCAGACCCCGAGAGGCAGCAAGTGGCCCCTGCTATTCCTGTGGAAAACCTGGATTGAGTTCCTGGCTCCCAGCTTTAGCACAGCACAACCCCCATCGTGGGGGGCATCTGGGGACTGAACCCTGGATGGGAGCTCTCTGTCTCTTACAGTAACCCCTGCCTTAGGATATTGTGTCCTTTGCCCTCTCGTCTTTGCCCCGCACCGTTCTTCAGGGCAGAGGGCCTAAGAGCAGCTGCCGGCACCTGTGCTCTGGGTCCCTGAGACTCATTCTTCCGGGGTAAGCTCAATGGTGCCACCCCTAGACCTGTCCGAGGACTGCACCTAGGAACATCTAACCATTCTGAAAACAAGTACTCTGGGCCCACCTGAGGCAAGGGGGCCAAGGAGCATCTGTGGGCAGCTGCCCAGCTTTCCCGTTAGGGAAGCAGCCTTACTTGGCGGTACTTATGTTTTCCTGACTCGAAGTTGGCCAGCATCTTCTCGGGGTCCTCCGCCTCGTCGGTGTCTGGCTTCTGGTTGCTGACGGGCATGTGTTCCAGGATCTTCTGGACGTCCGGCTCAAAGCCCATGTCAATCATCCGATCTGCCTCATCCAGAACCACATAGGTACAGCGGCTCAGCACCAGGTAGCGGTTCTCCAGCACATCAATCAGACGTCCCGGGGTAGCAATCACAATCTGGGGGGTACAGTGTAATCATATATGGCCCCGGCAGGCATCCCCTGCTTCTCCCGGAAGTGAGCCAGCCACTCGGTTAAGCAGCAGATCGCCAGGGCCAAGGAATGGGGACCACGGTTGCGAAGCATGTTTGCCAGCGAACGCTCCTGAGAACTGGTAGGACAGCGCGCACTCGCTGGCTCTCTTAGACTTCTCAAGGATGCATGAGGTCTCTGGGTAAAGCCCAGGGGTTAGGCAGAGGCGGTAACATCAGAAGGAAATTTCTTAGAAAGGAGAGAAGCTAACAGATGTCACAGAGAGGGGCTAAACAAAGGAATTACACTCAGAAGTCTGCAGAAGACTTAATTCCTACAGGCAGACTTCTTGTAAAAAACTCTTGTCCCTCTTCCCGAGACGGCAACGCGGTCACTGACTTGAGAGTACTGTACTTGAGAGCACAGGCTTTGGAAGAGAATCTCAGCTCCACCCACTGCCTGCCAGCCACGTGTCAGTCTGGGCAAATTTTTAACATTTATAGAGGAGCTGGGAGATACCATTACCTACTCCAATATGGTCACTGTGAAAATTAATGAGCTTATACAATATATACCGTATGCAACATAATCCCTGTTGCATGAGCTCTTGGTAAATAACGGCACACAGGGGCAGACACTGTGGCACAGCAAGTTAAGCTGCCATTTGCAACGCCGTGATAGCACATCAGAGCGCCGGTTCAGGTCCCAGCTGTTCCGCTTCTGATCTATCCTCCTGCTCATGTGCCTGGGAAAGCAGCAGATGACGGCATAGGTACCTGGGCCCCTACTACCCACGTGGGAGACCCAGATGGAATGCCTGGCTCCAGACTGGGCCAAAGCTGGCTGTTGTGGCATTTGGGGAATGAACCACCAGATGGAAGATCTATTTGTCTCCCTCTGTCACTCTGCCTTTCAAATAAATAGAATAAAATAAAATAAAAAAAAATAGCCCATATATATATGGGCTGTTTTATATATATAAATATACCTCAGGCCCTTCCTGAATTTTTACTGCACATATATTCTAGAAACCAGAAACAGAGCCTCAGAACAGAGATTTCCAGACTAGCTGACTGGCTGCTGTCCAGGGAAACAAACCTCGCAGCCCATGCGCAGCCGGAAGCCCTGGTCCTCCCTGGAGATGCCACCAATGACAGCCACGGTGCGGATGCCCAGGGGCTTCCCAAACTTGATAGTCTCCTCCTCGATCTGCTGAGCCAGTTCGCGGGTGGGAGCCAGGATGATGGCGTAAGGGCCCTGGTCCGACTCTTCGATCCTGTGGTAAATGCGGCACCCCACAGCTTCGTCAGCTTTGGTTCTTACCCACTCACAGAGGAAGATATGGTCACTCTTAAGGGTGGCTATGGACATGGGGAGGCGGTGAGAAAAGGATGCCAATAATCCCTCTCCAAACTCAAGAGACTCCAGGATAGGGAAGTTCTCCAGGGAGTGGTCCCTGCCCGCAACAGAAGCATCCCTTCTTTGAAATCGTGATGCACTTATTCCCTAATATCAGACCCAGAATAAAGAAGGGAGCTTGTTGGTAACCGACTTAAAACTCAACCCCACTTTTGACTTTCACCTTTCCTATCCACCAAAGCCCGCTCCAACTGGTGCCAACTGAGCCCACCTGTCAATTTTGGGAAGCGTGGTGATCCAGACCAGCAACGGGATGAGGAAAGCTGCCGTCTTGCCACTGCCCGTCTCAGCGACACCAATGATGTCGCGATTCTGCAGCCCAATGGGAATTGCCTGACGCTGGATAGGTGTCGGTTCCTGCAGTGACCCAGGAGGAAAGAAATGGGTACAGGCAGAATTACACTGCCCAGGCTACCACTACCACTGACATATTTTAGCACACAGTTCAAAAGAATGAGGACCCAAGAAAAAACACACACTGAAGGCCAACACTTGCACCAAGGAGGGACAGACAAAGCCACTGTGGCGCCGACTGGCAGAGGAGGCACCAAACAGTCAAGGACCAGCGACCTCTATTCCCAAACTGAGTCAGCATTCCCTAGAAAGTAAGGACACAACTGCGCCTCCTCACCTTGTAGCCGCACTTATCAATGACCTCCAGGATGTGAGGCGGCAAAGAAGAGTCTTTCCAAGATCGGATGGGGTTGGGAATCTTGCCGCCTTTGGTGGTGATGCTGTAGTCCTCGCGGAAGATCCGCCAGTCCCTGTCCGTCATCTCGTCCAACTTCTTCTGGGACCAATGGCGATCATCCCAGCGCTGCTTGGCTTCCTTCTTGCGAAGCTTGCGGAGTCTTGCCCTGGGGGGCACCCACGGAGGGAGTGGCCTCAGCGCCCACCAACTGCTTTCTGCAGAGACTTTGGGTTCAGCCCCCCTGCCCCAGCCCCGATCACTCACTCCTCCTGCTCCTTTTCTTCCAGCGTTCGCCTCTTCTCCATCAGGTCTCCATAGAAACGTGACTGTTCCCGCTTCTGCTGCTTTAGGTCAATGCCTGCAATGAAGCCTCGCCCTAGCAACTGCACCTGGTGCCGTTCTTTGTACCTGGGATTGAGCCAGAGGAAGCAAAAAAAGAGAGAAGGGGCTGTTACAGCAGCAGGAGGCTAATTACCAACCTGCCACAGCTCTCCTTCCTAGCCAGGGTGCTTCCTCACTCTTAGGGCTGGCTGAGTAACGGCCCACCAATTTTCCCACCCTCCATGAGCTAACTTCTACCTCGCAGTCCCTGGCTCTCTCTAGGACGGCCTGGTCGAAGCTACTCACAGAGGGTTGTAGTCGATGGATGTGTCCTCGGATGCATCCCACTCGAACACAAACTTGCGGTCATTGAGATGCCTCGTTCGGCGCCGCTTTTTGATGCCGCCCAGGTAACGCTCCTGTCCGGGGAGACAGCACCACGCCTATCAACCTCAAGGCCCATGTGGCACACGCAGAGATCAGAACAGCCAAGTCACTACATCTTGTTATTTGGTGGTGGGAGCCTGCACCTTAATAGCATGCAACTCCTTGCTCTTGTCCTTCTCTTCCCGAATCTTCTGCCGCCCCTCCTCATCCTCGTTCCCGTTGGTCTCCCGCTCCATCCTCTCCCTGCGTTCCCGACGCTCCCGTTCCTGAGGGTCTTCTGCAGGCCAAAGGAAGAAACACTGCAGAGGAGTTCAGTAAGAGAGAAAAGGGAGAGGGAAGGGAGGGGACCCAGACAAGGGGTGCCAAGGGGAAAAACAAGGGGCACACTGAGAGCACAGAAAACATGAAGCTGTAACAGAGAGCGGCTTTTCTTCCAACCTCCCCCCATCTCCCCTCACCCAAACTCCAGTGCAGTGTCCTGATTGACACCACAATCCCATATACCTCCTTCCTACCCCATAACTAGGGCAGGCACAGGGTGGAAAAACAAACCCAACATCTTGCGGCCCAAGTCCTGGAACTGTTTCCTTTTCTTCCTCTCCTCTTCAAGCACCCGCTGCCGCTCTTCCACCTCCTGCTGCCGCCGCTTCAGAGCTTCGGCCTCTCGCTCGGCTTTGGAGAGGAACTTGGGCTATAAAACAGATTGGGATTATAAACAGAGGATCTTGGAGCAGGGGACAGCCACGTCACTGATCAGAATCTGGGAGCAAGGTATATGCACAATCATAGCACAGCTGGGAGCCCACAAATGCGCTCTCAGGCATTACACCTACTAAGGAAAACAGAAACAGGCCTCAGATCTGACTACGACCTAAACTATGTCTCCCCCCAACCCAGCCCCACCCCAAATTCATATGTTGAAACCCTAAACGCTGTACTCCAAGATGTAGCGGCTTGGAGACAAGGCCTTTAGGAAGGTGACTGGGTTACAATGAGGTCACTGGGGGGCAATCCAGGATGGCTGGCATCCTTAGAAGAGCAAATGTGGACACCCAGGGAGACAGCAGGTGCACGCGTGCACAGACAGAGGGCGAGGTAAAGACGGAGGAAGAGAGAGCAGACCACGAGCTAAGGGCAGGGCCTCAGAAGAAACAATCCCGCTGACACCTTCATTCCCGGCGCCAAGTTGGTCGCCAGAACTGGGACATGAAACCCTGCTGCTGTTCCCGTGGTATTTGTTTAGGGCACCCCACGTTCCCAAGCTCTCACCTTGGCCTCAGCTTCTTCCTCAGCCTTCTTCTTGGCCAGAAGTTCCTCCAGGGATAGTGGCTGCACCTGCAGATGAAACACAGGACTTCAGTCCCTGAAGGCTCCCTGCCGCACGAGATCCAGGAAGCAGGGCTGGAGTGAGAGGCTGCAAAGACCTTCCTCCTCCTTACCTTAGGCCTCTTATCACCGTGCTCATCCTCGTCATCCTTCTTAGAGTCTCTGTCTTTCCGAGATTTAAAATCTTTTCCTCGGCCAGGAGATAAGCTTTAAGGAAAGGGAACAGGAAGGGTCCATACTGCTGTCTTTCCCAGGTCCTGGATGAGGTTTAGGCTGAGCCCCAAAACAGGAGGGAAGCTCTCCGAGACTCACCACACTGGCCCCGTTCTACCTGACTCCTCTTTCCTGAGCCTAAAACTCTCCCAGGAAGTCGCCCTTCACTACTGACATCCAAACAGTGCCTCCACACAGCAGCTGCAGGGTTAGGAAAGCCGCCTCAGCTTTATAATATACAGCGAATTTAACCTCCAAGACTACCCCAGAAGCCAAGAAGATACTATGTATACACACAGCAGTGCCCACAGACTGCAAAAGTCTCAGGCAACTCCACTGACTGTGTGGCATGCTCAGTCTGGTCTGTTCAGAACCTCACAAGGAGGCCGGCACTGTGGCGTAGTGGGCAAGGCTGCCACCTGCAGTGCCCGCATCCCATACAGGCGCCGGTTCGAGTCCCTGCTGCTCCACTTCCAATCCAGCTCTCTGCTATGGCCTGGGAAAGCAGTAGAAGATGGCCCAAGTCCTTGGGCCCCTGCACTCGTGTGGGAGACCCAGAAGAAGCTCCTGGCTCCTGGCTTCAGATCGCACAGCTCCGGCCATATGGCCAGTTGGAGAGTAAACCAGTGGATGGAAGACCTCTACCTCTCTCTCCCTCTCTCTCTCTCTCTCTCTCTCCCTCTCCTCCTAACTCTTTCAAATAAATAAATAAATCTTAAAAAAAATAAAAAATAGAACCTCACATGGAAAGTTTCCAGAGCAGAGAGATCAAGGCTCAAGGACACTAAACTATTCCAACAAACATATATCCTGGTAGGAAACTGAGTGGGCCAATGGACCTAAAGGAACACTCTATGGGCTGGCAAGCGTTTCAAATTACTTTCTAAATTCTAAGAACAAGTTGAGCCTCACAGTACTGTGACTTCACTAACTATTACACTCTCTGAAGAAGACACCCAGGGCCTGCGTTGGGTGCAGCAGTGAGGTCGTCACTTGGGACATCTGCAGCTACACCACAGTGCCCGGATTGAGTCCGTTTCTGACCCAGCGTCCTGCTAATGCATGTCCTGACTTCTGGAAGACAGCTGCTCAAGCACTTGGGCCTCTGCCACCCATGTGGGAGACCCAGATGGAGTTCCAGGCACCTGGCTTTGGCCCAGCCCAGCCCTGGCTCTTGTGGTCATCTGGGGAATGAACCAGCAGATGGTAAGATCGCTGTCCGTTCCTCTCTCTGTCTTTGCCTCTTAAATAAAAAGGAAATAAAAGGGGCTGGAGTTGTGGGGCAGCAAGTAAAGCCACTGCCTATGATACCAGCATCCCATATGGGCACCAGGTTTGGGTTGTATCTGCTCTATTTCTGATCCAGCTCCTTGCTAATGACTTGGGAAAGCAATGGAAGATGGCCTAAGTGCTAGGGCCCCTTCCACCCACATGGGAGACACAGATGAAGCTCCTGGCTTCAGCCTGCATCAGCCCTGGCCATTGTGGCCACTTGAGGAGTGAACTAGACAATGGAAGATGTCTCTGTCTCTCCCTCTCTCTTTCAAGTAAATAAATAAATCTTTTTAAAAATTTAAGTGTTAGAGCTTTTAAAAGATATGTGTTTTTTTTTAAAAGATTTATTTATTTTAAAGTCAGAGTTAGAGATAGGGAGAGACAGAGAGAGATCTTCCATCTGCTGGTTCACTCCCTGAATGGTTGCAATGGCCAGAGCTGGGCCAGACAGAAGCCAGGAGCCAGGAACTTCTTCTGGGTCTCCAACGTGGGGGCAAGGCCATCTGGCACATAGGTTCGTGCTTTTAAGAAAGACAGGTGTGCACTCAACTCACTACAAGCAGGATCAGCCACAGAATGCAGAGAGGAAGCGGGAGCACTCCGTGAAATCCCAGCCCCACCCCCTCGGTACCTGGATCGCTTCCGGTCCTTGTCCCGTCGGTGCCCATCCTTGTCTCGATCTCGGTCCTTCTTATTCCGATCTCGCTCCTTATCCCGTTCTCGTTCTTTGTGCCGCCGCTCTCTGGAAGACAGCAAATTCAGGAAGTCTTTTGATATTTCCAGAGCACCCTGCTTCCCTGCAGCCCTGGTGGGAGTTTTGAGGCTCTATGCTCCCCATGGAAATGTCTTATAAACTGGGGAAGTTGTGAGGGAATTCTAAGAGGACCTTACAGACCAGCTGTCCTGCTAAGCAGTAATGGCAACAACAGACCACAGGCTGGGTGAACAGGTGAATGGTTCTCCTGGATTATTTGGATCTTCCTCTTACAAGGTCCCTTTCAGAGCTGGGCCACGGAGGAAACCGGAAAACACCTGCCAGTCCAACAGCTGGGGCATGAAAAGGGAGATGCCTGATACTGAACGCATCAGAAGAACCAAGGATGAAGCAGCAGGAAATGGACCCCCTTCCGGTGTCACAGACAGACGGCGGCTCCTTACCTCTCTGTAGACTTGGAACGGGAACGGGAACGAGAGCGGCTGCCCCCGCGGCGTCGATCCCTTGAGCGGTGCCGCTTCCGCTCTTTAGCGGGGGAAGACTTCCGGTCCCGGTCCCTATCCCGCTCTCTGTCAGGGCTCCGTGAGCGCTTCCTTTCCTCCTTAGAAGGTGACACATCTCGGTCCTTTTTGTCAGCCAGCTCTCCTGCCATCTGTTGTGGGTACCAGGAATATTTATGATGCACTGGGCACCACGCTCAACTGCTTATATGTACTTTACTTGATCTTACAACAACCCAAAGGGGGCCGGTGCTGCGGTGTAGGGGGTAAAGCCGCTGCGTGAAGTGCTGGCATCCCATATGGGTGCCAGTTTGGTCCTGGCTACTCCACTTCTGATCCAGCTCTCTGCTATGTCCTGGGAAAGCAGTAGAAGATGGCCCAAGTCCTTGGGCCCCTGCACCTGCATGGGAGACCCAGAAGAAGCTCCTGGCTTCTGGCTTCGGATCAGCACAGCTCCAGCCATTGTGGCCATCTGGGGAGCAAACCAGCAGATGGAAGATCTCTCTTTCTCTCTCTCTCTCTCTCTCTCTCTCTCTCTCTCTCTCTGCCTCTGCCTCTCTGTAATTCTGCCTTTCAAATAAATAAATAAATAATTTAAAAAAAAACCCTATGAGATAGATCTAACAGTATAATTACTTTATAGGTGAAAAGCTCAAATAACAACAGTACTTCCACAAGTTCATCAGAAATAGAATTGAAAAATAATTTATTTTGGTGCAAAAAAATTTTAATAAAGATTTTATTTATTTACTTGATAGGTAGAGTTATAGGCAGAGAGAAAGGTCTTCCATCCACTGGTTCACTCCCCAAATGGCCGCAACGGCCATAGCTGGGCCAATACAAAGCCAGGAGTGAGGAGCTTCTTCCAGGTCTCCCACATGGGTGCATGGGCCCAAGGACTTGGACCATCTTCTACTGCTTTCCCAAGCCACAGCAGAGAGCTGTATGGAATTGGAGGAGCCAGGACATGAACCAGAATCCATATGGGATGCCAGCACCACAAGCAGAGGCTTAGCCTACTATACCACAGCGCCAGTCCCACAAAAACAAATTTGAAACCTATGTGTAGCTTTTCACAGTACACAAAAATGAGCAAAGTAACACTTTTTTTTTGACAGGCAGAGTGGACAGTGAGAGAGAAACAGAGAGAAAGGTCTTCCTTTGCCGTTGGTTCATCCTCCAATAGCCGCCGCGGCCGGCACACCGCGCTGATCCGAAGGCAGGAGCCAGGTGCTTCTCCTGGTCTCCCATGTGGGTGCAGGGCCCAAGCACTTGGGCCATCCTCCACTGCACACCCGGGCCACAGCAGAAAGCTGGCCTGGAAGAGGGGCAACCGGGACAGAATCCGGCGCCCCGACCGGGACCAGAACCCAGTGTGCCGGCGCCGCTAAGTGGAGGATTAGCCTATTGAGCCGCGGCACTGGGCCGCAAAGTAACACTTTTAAAAGGTGAAGACAGGGGCCAGCACTGTCGCATAGCAGGTAAAGCCGCTGCCTGCAGTGCCGGCATCCCATATGGGCACTGGTTCGAGTCCCGGCTGCTCCCCTTCCAATCCAGCTCTCTGCTATGTGCCTGGGAAAGCAGCAGAAGATGCCCCAAGTGCTTAGGCCCCTGCACCACTGTGGGAGACCCAGAAGAAGCTCCTGGCTCCTGGCTTTGGATCAGCCCAGCTCCAGCCACTGCAGCCATTTGGGGAGTGAATCAGCAGATGGAAGATCTCTCTTTCTAACTCCACCTCTCAAATAAATAAATAAATAAATCTTAAAAAAAAAAAAAAAAAACTGAAGACTGCCTGTTTTATCTCACAATTACTTGAAAAAGACAAAATTCTCTACATTAGTACAGCATGTGTACCACACAGAAATACTTAAGCCTCTTCCACTTGTAGGGTTTGCGTGTGGCTCCTGAATTTTTTTTTTCTTTTTTTGACAGGCAGAGCTAGACAGTGAGAGAGAGAGAGACAGAGAAAGGTCTTCCTTTGCCGTTGGTTCACCCTCCAATGGCCGCCATGGCCGGCGCACTGCGGCTGGCACACTGCACTGATCCGAAGCCAGGAGCCAGGTGCTTCTCCTGGTCTCCCATGGGGTGCAGGGCCCAAGCACTTGGGCCATCCTCCACTGCACTCCCGGGCCACAGCAGAGAGCCAGCCTGGAAGAGGGGCAACTGGGACAGAATCTGGCGCCTCGACCGGACTAGAACCCAGTGTGCCGTTGCCGCAGGCGGAGGATTAGCCTATTGAGCCGCGACGCCAGCCCTGGCTCCTGAATTTCATGTTGGAAACCTGGTTCCCAATACAGCAGTCTTGAGAAGTGGGATCTTTGGCTGATGATCTGGCTGATGAAGGCAATGCCCTCATAAATTGATAAATACATTCAGGTAACTGATGGGTTATTATGGGAGCGGCTTTGCTATAAAAGCAAGCTCTCAACGTAGTGCCCAAATCATTTTGCTTTAAAAGGTTGTAACAAATATAGATGAGTTGGAAGAAAAAAAAAAAAAAAAAGGCAAGCTTTCTCTGGTATGCCTGCTGTCTTGCCACACTATGATGTGGCATGTAGGTACCACAGCACGCTCTTTAACTTGCCGGTTTCCAGAACTGCAATCAATTAACGTCTACTCTAGAACTGCCCAGTTGCAGGTATGCTGTTACAGTAACAGAAAGCAGACTAAGACAAGTCCTGAGAGAACAGTCCAGAAAAGAGGACATCTTTCCTACAAGGCAGCCTGAACATCATTCATTCTTTTAGTAAATATTCACTGAGCATGTATAAGGTGGCAGAAATTAGCAGTAACTAAACCAAGTCTCTGGGGGCCACAGTTGTGCTAGGAGTTAAGATGCCACTTGGGAGTCCCGGCTGCTCCACTTCTGATCCAGCTTCCTGCTCATGGGCCTGGGAAGAGAGCAGATGACCCCTGCCACCCAGGCAGGGGATCAGGGTGGAGTTCCTGGCTCCTAGCTTCAGCCTGGCCCAGACACAGCTGTTGTCACTACTTGGGGGGGAGTGAACCAGCAGATGAAAAATCTCTTTCTGCCTTAAGTCTTCCAAACAAAACAAAACACAAACAAAACCAAAGAAACCAGGGGAGGTGGGCATGTTGTGGCATAGCAGGTTAAGCCGCTGCTTGTAACACAGGCATCTCATATCAGGGTGCTGGTTCCAGTACCAGCTGCTCTGCTTCTCAGTCAGCTTCCTGATAAGGCTCCTCTTAGAAAGGGAGCAGAAGATGGCCCCAGTGCTCAGGACCATTTGGTAGATGGGTACCAACATCTGGAAGATCTGTCTCTGTAGCTCTCCCTCTCTGTCCCTCTACCTTTCAAGTAAATAAATCTTTAAAAAAATTTTTAAAAAAAGGCAATATAGTAGAGTGAATTTCAAATAGTTATGAACAAGGAGAATAAAATGGGGTGACATGAACAAGAGATGGATGGCTCAAGAAAGAATTTTTAGTTTATATTTAAACTGAGACTTCCATGATGGGAAAGACAGAACCAGATCTGTTCAGGGAGAATAATTCATTGGGTAGAAGAGACAGCAAGTACTAAAGTACTGAGGCAGGAGTTAGCTTAGATGTCTGCAACTAAAAATCAAACTGTAGGGCCAGCATTGTGGCACAGCGGACAAAGCAGCCTGTGATGTCGGCATTCCATGTGGGCACTGTTTCAAGTCCTGGCTGCTTCACTGCTAATGCACCTGGGAAAGCAGTAGAGGATGGCCCAAGTGCTTGGGCCCCTGCACCCACATGCGAGACCCAGAGGAAGCTCTGGGCTCCTGGCTTCAGCCTGACACAGGCTGGCCATTGTGGCCACTTCTGGAGTGAACCAGTGCGTGCAAGATTTCTCTCTCTGTCTCTCCTTCTCACTCTGTAACTCTGCCTTTCAAATAAATAAAAAATAAATTTCTTTAAAAAAGAAAATAGCTCCTAAATTTGTGGTCTGAACAGTCTGTTAGTTTGAGTTGCTGATAGAGAACCAACCAAAGACTGGGGAAGGAAGAGATTGAGGACGGAACCAAAAGTTCCTTTCGGCCAGGTTGCAGCTGAGACCTCTGTAATAAGACAGCCAAGAGGGGAGTCTCAGAAGGCATATGGAAATGCAAACCTGGAACTCAACAGAGGGTCTGGGGACAACCATGAGTCACAGGTACATAGCTTTTGAAGCCACAGAGCACTAAATGATATTACCCAGTTAGGAAGTAGAGTTAAAGAAAGAAAAAGAAGAGAACCCCATAGTAAGTTCTGGGACACTCTAAACACTTAAGGGTCAGGCACAGCAGCAGTAAGAAATATTGTAGAGACTGGCGCTGTGGCATAGTGGGTAAAGCCGCCGCCTGTAGTGCTGGCATCCCATATGGGTGCCGGTTCAAGTCCTGGGTACTCCACTTCTGATCCAGCTCTCTGCTGTGGCCTGAGAAAGCAGTACAAGATGGCCCAAGTCCTTGGGCCCCTGCATCTGCATGGGAGACCTGGAAGAATCTCCTGGCTTTGGATGGGAGCAGCTCCAGCTGTTGCAGCCAATTGGGGAGTGAACCAGAGGATGGAAGACCTCACTCTCTCTCTGCCTCTCTCTGTAACGCAAATAAATGAAATAAATCTTAAAAAAAAAAAAAAAAAAAAAAAAAAAAAGATTAGGGGGCAGAGAAGTGAGTACAGCATTTGGGGAAATAGAGATTATTTGTGACCTTGACAAGAGCTGTCTCAGTGGCACAGAGCAAACCAGAAACTCAAGTGGACTCCGGCCATGCCTCCCAGCAGCCTTCCTCTCCAATTTCCTGAACTTTTTAGTTCCTCCGTTCTTGTACGGCCGGGGCAGGTCTCCCCGCCCCCCCAACTCCCATTCTGTTAAGTATTTTCCAACCATCTACCGCATATAAGGCACAGCGCAGGACACTGTGCGAGTTACAACAGGAAGTCCCATCCCTAAGAAGCTTTACGACAATAGAGGGTCTGAGAACCCATCCTAGTACGGCAGGCTCGCATGAACTAGTAGGGGAGTTCGAAGAAGCACTTCTGCAAGGCTCCACTGAGAAAGTGGCCCTTGATCCCTTAGGGATGGGTAAGGAAAGAAACAACTCCCTAATTCCCGGCCTAATAATACCGACGGCACGGAGGCGGGAAAGTACGGGCTGCTTCTGGGAGAAAAATTCAAGTTCCAGTGTGACTGCGGCACCGGGCTACGAGAGGCAGGAAACAATCAGTCGTGCCGGCGGCCAAAGGTCTGAGCCCGGAACATCGTCCAGAACGTGGCCTGAGCCCCAGCAGCCAGCACTCCCCCTGGGGCCCGCGCCCCTGCGCTCCTGCCCGTCTGAGATTTCCCCCGGCTCGCGCCTCTTCCCCGAGGCGTTCTTCCGCGCCTCATCCCGGAGGCAGGGGCCACAGCCATGCCCCCGACACTTGCCTTCTCTACAACCTCGAGGGAACCATCTCCCCTGCCTAGAACTCACCACCCTGAGTCGGAACCGCCCAACGCGGCCTCAACGTCGCCGAACAGCCGCCATCTTTCCCGTTTCCTGGTCGCCGAGATGCACCCCCTTGCCGCGCGGCAAGCTGGGAAGGCGAGTTCGCGGCGCTGGGCAGCTTAAGCCGACAGTAAGGCCCTCAGAACTACCAATCCCAGGATGCACGGCGCCCGCGCCTGCCGAAGGCCGCAGGGACTGCTGGGCAATGTGGTTCGCCAAGCTTGGCGTGTGCGAGGGAAGTTAGCAGTGGGCCGGGTTCCTGCAGATCTTCCCGCGGTTCAGTCTTCCTGGAATCTGCAGGCCTTCCAAAAGCTACGGTAGCGACCGTCGTGGCCCGTGCCTTACACGGTATGAGTTTAAGGCTTTGCATTTCTATAGCATGGCTCTATGATGGGCTACTGCGAGCAACCACAAGTACCGTTTGTGGAAAAGCAAAAATCTCGTTAGATTGTTACCCATTTTATAAGATGAGAGTTGTACAATTCTTTATCGTGAGGAATTCCACCAGGCTTAGGACAGTGTAGCAACCTGCCCCACCAATCTCCCCTACTGTTAACACTTCATCCTCTGATCTGGGCTGTGGCACCTTCTTTCTCTTTCTTTCTTTTTTTTCTTTTCTCTCATTTTCTTTTCTTTTTTAGATTTATTTATTTTATTTGAAGAGCAGGGCTACAGAGAGAGGTCTTGAATCTGCTGGTTCACTCTCCAAATGGCCACAACAGCAGGAGCTGTGCCGATCCAAAGCCAGGAGCCAGGAGCTTCTGCTAGGTCTCCCATGCGGGCGCAGGGGCCCAAGGACTTAGCCCATTTTCTACTGCTTTCCCAGGCCATAGCAGAGAGCTGGATCGGAAGTGGAGCAGCCAGGACTCGAACCAGCGCCCATATGGGATGCCGGCACTGCTGGCGTTGGCTTTACCACTGCGCCACAGCATTGGCCCCATGCATCTTTTTTCTTCAGGTTCCAGTAGGGACCCCTGCAGTCTTTGGGCTACCTTTGTGTTGGTTTGTTTTTTTAAGGTTTTATTTATTTGAGAGGTAGAGTTACAGACAGAGAGAAGGAGAGATCGATTCTCCATCCACTGCTTCACTCCTAGGCCAATCTGAAGCCAGGAGCCAGGAGCTTCTTCCAGGTCTCCCAAGTGGAGACCATCCTCTGCTGCTTTCCCAGGTGCATCAGCAGGAGTTGGATTGGAAGTGGAGCAGCCAGGACTGGAATCAGTGCCCATGTGGGATGCCTGCACCGTAGGCAGAGGCTTAACCTACTACAGCACAGCACCGAACCCTATATGGGTCTCTTTCTTCTTCCTAGTGTCAGCCTCCCACTGAAGCTGTTTTATCACAAATCCTGTGCTCACTTTGCTCACTTTGTTTCTTGTTGGTCTTTTTGGATCATGATTCTTCCCCTAAAGCCGAACCAAGGCCTCTTTCCTTTGTTTTCCCATCATTAGCTTGTCTTGGTTCCCCATGGCTATATATCTGTTTTCTCTTTGAATGTTTTTCTTAGGTAGGAAGTTAGAAATTAGCCTGTGTGTGTGTGTATGTGTGTGTGTGTGTGTGTGTGAGAGAGAGAGAGAGAGAGAGAGAGAGAGAGACAGGCCTGAAGACCAGCACCTATTGTGGAAGCTCCAGAAGCCCAGCATTTTGCACTGCAAAGTCCTGCCCAGACCCTGATAACCTCCCAGTTGGTCCCAGAATTCTCTCTCAGGACCAGATGGGTTACCTGACCTGATAACATGGGACCCTAAAACACAGGCACCCTAAAGGAAACCCCTCTACTCTGCCTGGCACCAGCAAATCTGGGGAGGAATTTGCTAATTTCACCCAACAAACCCTTCCACCAAGCTCCCTGTCCTTTGTCCTGGAGGAGAGGGGGAGGTGGGTAAACAGACTCCCTTAACAACCTAGGGAGTCCAAACAGACCATGCATTCAGCCCTCTGCCCTCTGCTGAGCCGCCCGCCTGGCCTGCCCAGGTGTATTCTCTCCATTCAACCATGTAACCTCGCTCTCCCCCAGACGGAGTGACTGGGTGCTCTCTGTCCCTTCTGAGGGATGCCCTGTCCCCAGTAAAACCTTGTAGCTTCACTCTGTCTCACGTCTCAATTTTTTCTTGAATGAAGACAAGAACCCCATGGCTTCCACGGCTCTTTTCTCTGGTGACATTTTCAGTCTCCAAGAAGAGCCTAGGAGTAGACTGACATTATCCTAAAGCCCTGAGCATCAGGCATAGTGGCCTAAAGTAGCCGTAGGATAAGCATACTTCTGCTCTTAAAACTTCGCCACTTGAACCCTAGAACAGATCTGAAGGGAAAATCGAGTCTTGAGATCTATTGGGTGTAATTTGCCAAATGAACACTAGAGGGCTGTCCCCTCACAGAAAGGGACCCCAACTAAGAGACCAGCCATGATTCTGGGGAACCTTTAGGAGCCAAGTGCCTCATGCTGTGCTGGACACAACTTACATAATTTTCTTTTTCTTGATTCATTTATTTATTTGAAAGAGTTACACAGAGAGAGGAGAGGCAGAGAGAGAGAGAGGTCTATCTTCTGATGGTTCACTCCCCAATGGCCGCAACAGCCAGAGCTGCGCTGATCTGAAGCCAGAAGCCAGGAGCTTCTTCCGGTCACCAGTGTGGATGCAGGGGCCCAAGGACTTGGGCCATCTTCTACTGCCTTCCCAGGCCACAGCAGAGAGCTGGATCATAAGTGGAGCAGCCGGGACTTGAACCGGCGCCCATATGAGATGCCCACACTGAGATGTTTTTACCAGCTACGCCACAGCGCTGGCCCTACATCACTCCTTTAACTTAGTTCTCATAGCAGTGTGAGATGGGTGTTAACTCCATTTTACTAGAAAGGAGGTTGTAGCCCATAAAAATCCATTGTGCCTTCAAAAGCCATATAGTCAAAAGGGGTCGGAATTCAACTCCAGAGTCGAGGTTCTTTCCCTAGTTTCGGGCTACCATTCTCATTGTCTTTCTTTCTTTTTTAAAAGACTTATTTATTTATTTGAAAGGCAGAGTTACAGAGAGGCAGAGGCAGAAAGAGTGGTCTTCCATCCACTGGTTCACTCCCGAGATGGCCACAATGGCTGGAGCTGAACTGATCCGAAGCCAGGATCCAGGAGCTTCTTCTGGGTCACCCACATGGGTGCAGGGGCCCAAGGACTTGGGCCATCTTCTACTGTTTTCCCAGGCCATAGCAGAGAGCTGGATCAGAAGTGGATCAGCCAGGACTTGAACTGGCACCCACACAGGATGCCGGCACTGCATGTGGCGGCCTTACCCGCTATGCCACAGCACCAGCCCCTCATTGTCTTTCACAATGAGTAAGACAGGACCCAGAAATGTCACAAAGCTTACCCAGGTTCATAATAGCAGGCTTCTCCTAATACCTGTGCACATCTCTCTCATAACACATATAAGACATTGGGGTTAAAGGACACTCACTTAGGGGGTAGGCATTGTGGCACAGTGGGTTAAGTCACCACTTGCCACCTGCATCCCATATCTCAGTGCCAGTTCAAGCCCCGGCTGTTCCATTTCCACTGAGCTCCTTACTAATGAACCTGGGAAGGCAGCAGATGAAGATCCAGGTATTTGGGTCCCCTGCCACCCACATGGGAGATGCAGATGGAGTTCTGGGCTCCTCGCTCCAGCCTGGCCCAGCCCCAGCCATTGTGGCCATTTGGAGAGTGAACCAGCAGATTGGTAAAAACTCTCTTGCTGTGTGTCGTCTTCTTTGTCATTCTGCCCTTCAAATATATAAAATAAATCTTTTTTTTTTTTTTTTTAACAGGCAGAGAGGACAGTGAGAGAGAGAGAGACAGAGAGGAAGGTCTTCCTTTGCCGTTGGTTCACCCTCCAATGGCCGCCGCGGCCGGTGTGCTGTGGCTGGCACACCTTGCTGATCCGAAGCCAGGAGCCAGGTGCTTATCCTGGTCTCCCATGGGGTGCAGGGCCCAAGGACTTGGGCCATCCTCCACTGCACTCCCTGGCCACAGCAGAGAGCTGGCCTGGAAGAGGGGCAACCGGGACAGAATCCGGCACCCCGACTGGGACTAGAACCCGGGGTGCCGGCGCTGGAAGGCGGAGGATTAGCCTAGTGAGCCGCGGCACTGGCAAAATAAATCTTTAAAAAAAAAAGATTGGGGCCAGCACTGTGGCATAGCTGGTAAAGCCGCAGCCTGCAGTACCAGCATCCCATATGGGCACTGGTTCAAGTCCTGGCTGCTCCATCTCCGATCCAGCTCTCTGCTATGGCCTGGGAAAGCAGTGGAAGATGGCCCAAGTCCTTGGGCCCCTGCACCCATGTGGGAGACCGACCCAGAAGATCCTGGCTCCTGGCTTGAGATCGGTGCAGCTGCAACCATTGCAGCCAACTGGGGAGTGAACCAGCAGATGGAAGACCTCTCTCTCTGCCTCTCCTTCTCTGTAATTCTGACTTTCAAGTAAATAAATCTTAAAAAAAAAAAAAAAAAAAAGCTAGTCACTTATCTTACTCTGTTAGTTCTCTCACAAACACACATCTTTGGAGATGGACAGACTGTGCTCAAGTAAGGATCATGCGTGGGTCCCTTACCTAGGCACAGCACAGCTGGCCGTAAGAGGCCTGTGGATTGCAGTTAACGGTGAGAACTGGTTTGAATTCTGACCCAACTACCGATGAGCAATATTATTGCTCATCGGTAGTTGGGTCAGAATTTTGTACAAGTTATATAGTATTTTTGGCTTTCTCTTTCCTCATTTATGAGACAAGGCTAATGTTGCCACTTATGTCACAGGATAGGACAGAACAACAATTAAACACGCATGTTCTGGAGCCAGACCACCTGCCTTTGCATCCAGGTTCTCCCATCCTCTGGGTGTGTATCTTTGGCCCTGAACCTTTTTTTTTTTTCTATCTATAAAGCTCAAAGGGTTCCCACAGGAATAAACAACATAAATAATTCACCAGTGCCCCTGGTCCATGGTAAACATTTTTTTTTTTTTTAAAGATTCATTTATTTTGAAAGGCAGAGTTACCAGGCTGGGGTTAGGAGAGGGGCAGCAGAGACAGGGACAGTGATCTTCTGTCTGCTGGTTCACTCCCAAATGGCCACAACAGCCAGCATTTGGCCAGGCTGAAGCCAAGAGCCAGGAGCTTCTTCTGAGTCTCTCATATGGGTGCAGGGGACCAAGCAACTGGGCCATCTTCCACTGTTTTCCCAGGCCACAGTGGCGAGCTGGATTGGAAGTGGAGCAGCCGGGACTCAAACTGGCACCCAGATGGGATACTGGTGTCACAGCTTAACCAGCTACACCACAGTGCTGGGCCCCCATGGGAAACGTTTAACTAATGGTAGCTATAATCTATGGGGTTCAATCAAACAATGTGCATGAAGCCCTCAGCACAGTGCTGCAAGCTCAGTAAGTACTCAATACATAATAACATTTTGCTTGGTAGCTGGCATTGTGCTGCATCAGGCTCAGTTGCCACTGCAGCTTCCCGCTAATGCACCTGAGAAGGTAATGGCTGATGGCCAAGAACTTGGGTTCCTGTCACCCATGTGGGAGACTGTAATGCAGTTCCAGGCTCCTGGTTTCAGCCTGGCCCAGCCCCAGCTGTTGCACTGAGATCGGCAGGTTTTGAAGGCAGAAGATGCCACCTCTCCTTGAACTCAGAGACGAGAACCCCAGGAACCTCTCCTCTACCCTCCAGCTTTTTAAATCTGTGCCCCTTCTGCTGGGCGGGGTATGGGTTGCAGCGTTGGCAGAGACAGACACCTGTCTCTTCTAGATTTTCCAGGGCCAGGGTTTCTGGGGAGTAGTTTGGCCCTCAGGGACCCTTACCAGTATCTGAAGCCATTGGTGGACAGAGGCTGTGAAACTTACCACTACAACCATTCCAAGGTTGGGAGACCCTGCTCTAGGGCTCAGAGCTCTACTCTGGCTTAGTAGGACTTGGGTGGGCTTGGGGCTGGGGCTGAGGATGGTGAGGGAAGGGATGCCTTGTTGGAGGAAGGTGAAAGAGCTCCAGCTTTTTCCTTCTTTTTCATGACCCAAGAAAACAGAAAAACAAAAACAACCAAAGGCGCCCACTCTTTCTATGTATTATATTTTTCATTAATAAATAGGTTTTCTTCTTTAAACACAGAACATAGAACAGATGAAAACACTCCCCCCCTCCCCCCAATTCCAAAGACGAGTCTATAAAACAGACACCAGCTATACTGCCCCAAGGGCAGAAGAAGTCTGGTGACCCCCCCACCCAGCCCTGCCTCTGCAGCACCACCACCCCCACACTCCGCAAGGATCTGGGGACTTGGGTGAGAAGCGTGTGTGGATGTGTGATGTCACCTCCCCATGAGACATGAGCTATGCAAAGATGAGACTCGCTTCTCATCAGCTCTGACCAGCTCCTGCCTGTCCGGTTTCAGTTATGAAGCACCTGGGCCATGCTCCCAAGGGAGCTGCCTGCTGGCTTCTTCACTCGCCACCTCCTTAGATGGGGAGGAAAAGGGTCGAGGACCCCTCTCGTCCCCTGGCCTGCATGGAAGAGCTGTGTGGAAGAGGCATGGAGGCCCCCCGTGGGCCCCTGAGCCCCGGCATGCCTCCCCGCACCCCCGCATCTTCCCTTGTTCTGGAGCCAAGGGCACTGGGGCAGATGCCCCCTGCAATCTAGTACCTGGCGTGGATGTGATGGTTCCTTCTCAGCGTCAGGTCCTTGTCCCAGTCCTGTCTCCTTCCAAGCCCTCACCATGGCCACCTGAAAATCTCATGTCCAGTGTCCTCAAGTCGTCTCGTCCTCCCTCGCCCTGTGCCTCTGCACCCCAAGGGAGGAAGTGGGGGGTTGTCTCCCCTCCCCCGTGGCTCCCACTTCACATGATCGAACAGCTTTTGGCCTTTTCCTTCTTGAAGGTGGAGGAGATGAGTTCAGAGCGACTGGGGAGGTGCAGCAGCCGTTTGGAGAGGCTCCGGACGGGGCTCCGTGGGGGCGCTGGGCTGGGCTTGTTCAGGCACACCATAGAGGCCATCCGGAAGATGCTGTGGATGCTCTTCTCGGAGGTGAAAGCTGACCCTTCCAGGTAGATTTCTGCACCCAGCTGCTTGGCTATTGCACAGCCCTGTGGGAGGAGGGGGAGAGGTTGTCAATTAAGCAGGGGTCCAGAGAGCTGTCTCCCACCCCCACCTCAGCCAGTGAGATTTCTGAACTGTGAGCCCAGGCTGTACAATAGGATCCCCTGAGACAATTGAAAACCCAGGGCTTAAGTATTAGCATTTTAAAAACTACCCATTGGGGGCAGTGCTGTGGCTTGCAGGTAAAGCTGCCACCTGTAGGGCTGTGTTGCTGGTTCCCACCCAGCTCTCTGCTGTGGCCTGGGAAAGCAGTGGAAGATGGCCCAAGTGCTTGGGCCCCTGCACCTGCGTGGGAGACCTGGATGAAGTTCCTGGCTTCAGATTGGCACAGCTCTGGCTGTTGCGGCCACCTGGGGAGTGAACCAGTGGATGGAAGACCTCTCTTTCTGCCTCCTTGTAACTCTGCCTTCCAAATAGAGAAATAAATCTTAAAAAAAAAAAAAAAAAACAAAAACTACCTATTTTGTTTTTATTTGGAAAGCAAAGATGGAGAGAGACAGAGATCTTCCAACAGCTGGCTCACTCCACAAATCACAAATGCCCACAACAGCCAGGTTTGGGCTAGGCTGAAGCTAGGAGCCTAGAAGTCAAGCCAGGTCTCTCCACGTATTTGAGCCATTACCTGCTGCCTCCCAGGGTACACACTCAATGAGGAAGCTGGATCAGAGGTGGAATAGCTTGGTGTTGTAGCGTAGCACGCTAAGCTACCACCTGCAACTCCAGCATCCCGTACGGGTGCTGGTTTGTGTTATGGTTGCTACACTTCCAGTCCAGCTCCCTGCTAATGGCCTGGAAAAGCAGCATAAGATGGCCCAAGTGTTTGGCCCCTTCACCCATGTGGGAGACCAGGAGGAAGGTCCTGGCTCCTGGTTTCAGCCTGGCCTAGTCCTGGCTGTTGCAGCTATTTGTGGAGTGAATCTGCAGATGGACAATTTTCTCTCTCTCTCTCTCTCTCAACTCTGCCTTTCACCAGGCACTCTGAGATGCTAGCATCCCAGCCACCAATTTAACCACCACACCAAAAGCCCACACCAAGGCTTTAGCATTTATAAAAGCTCCCCATAGAATTCTAATCTGAAATGTGGCTTAAAACAAATAACTGGGGGCTGCATTATAGTATATCGTAAAGCTGCCACTTGCAGCACCGGTATCCCATACAGGTGCCTGCCGGTTCGAATCCCGGCTGTTTTACTTCTGATCCAGCTTCCTGCATTAATGGCCTAGGAAAAGCAGTGGAAGATGGTCCAAGTGGTTGGGCCTCTGCACCCACATGGGAGACCACAAGGAAGCTCCTGACTCTTGGCTTCTGCCTGGCCATTGCAGCCATCTGGGAATTGAACCAGTGGATGGAAGAACTCTCTCTCCCTCTCTCTCTGTAACCCTGACTTTCAAATAAATAAATAAATCTTTAAATATATATATATAAGGATCCTTACACTCCCATGTGCATAAGAAATTAACCAAGCCTCTCTTTAAAAATGCAAATTCTGGAGAGGTGGGCGTTTGGCTTAGTGGTTAAGATGCTAGTTAGGATGTCCATATGGCCCATCAGAGTGCATTGGATGGAGTCCTAGCTTCACTCTTGATTCCAGCTTCTTGCTAATGCAGACCGTGGGGGATAGCAGGAGAAGGCTCACGTAGCTGAATTCCTCCCACCCATGTGGGAGACCCAGATTGAGTTCCCAGTTCACAGCTTCAGCACTCAGGCCATTATGGGCATTTGCGGAGTGAACCAGCAGCAGGGAGCTTGCTTTCTCTCAACTGATAAAATCAGATGAGGAGGGGCCAGCACTGAGGCATAGCAGGTTAAAGCCCCAGCCTGCTGCGCCAGCATCCCATATGGGTGCCAGTTCATGTCCCAGCTGCCCCATTTCTGATCCAGCTCCCTGCTATGGCCTGGGAAAGCAGTGGAAGATGGCCCAAGTCCTTGGGCCCCTGCACCTTGTAGGAGACCCAGAAGAAGCTCCTGGCTTCAGATCAGCCCAGCTCTGGCCCTTGCAGAGTGAGTCAGTGGACTGGAAAACCCCTCTCTCTCTCTCTCTTTATCTCTGGCCTTATCTCTCCCTGTAACTGTCTTTCAAATAAATAAAAATCTTTAAAGAAAAAAAAAAGGTAAGATTCCCAAATCTTCTTTACTGAGTATACAGCCAGAAATCTGAAATTTTGGCAACTCCCCCCCCCCCCCCGAATGATTCCAGTGCAAGTGGTCTCGAAATGCTGACCCACACAGGAATGGCTCACCTGTTAATTTATAGCACACACCCAAGGAAACAAGTATCTCTATCTAGGTGACAATTTTACTTATTTGTTTTCATTTATTTGAAAGGAAGAGGAACAGACAGAGATCTTCCATCTTCTGGCCACTCCAGTGCCTGCAACAGGCAGGGCTGAGTAAGGAACCCAAAACTCAACCCGGTCTCCCACATGGGTGGCAGAGACCCAAGACCAGCTGCCTCTCAGGGAACACATTAGCAGTAAACTGGATTGGAAGAAGAGGAGCCAGAACTTGAACCAGGCGCTCTGAGATGGGATGCAGGTGTCCCAAGAGGCAACTTTGCTGCCATGCCAAACGCCTGCCCCAAGTTTGCTAACTATAGATGGCCCCTAACTCCAGCTGTCTCTAGCCATGGCAGGAGAGTTTGAGCAAGGGTCATTATTTCTGCCTGTAGCCTCCCCCCACTCCCCACACACACCTGCTCATAGGAGATGGGGGCCTGCTTCTGGTGGGACAGCTCCATCAGAGTGCTCAGGTCTGTTCGCAGGTCTGTCTTGCAGCCGATAAGCAAAACACGTGTGCTGGGACAATAATCTAGGATTTCTGCCCTCCACTGGGGGTCAAGCAGGGAGAAAGGAAGGGGAAGGACAGAAGGAAGGTCGGTCAGTGGTACAAGGAGCCCAACTGGCAACACCACACCCCCGTCCCCAGCCCAGTCCTCCCTGAGTCACAACACCTCCACATGGCTACTTAATTACATCATCTTCCTGCTCAACAGACCTCTGGGCCCACCAGAGTGCTGACCCAGGAGCCTGTCCCCTCTGTCAAGAGGCTGGACACCCAAGAGAGTATGGGGGCGATTCTCCCACACACTCTGTGCCAAGGTCGAATGTGCCCTTCCTGCCAGTCAAAGGACCTCACAAGTCTAGGGTGCAGGGCGATGCCCCCAGTCCCTTTCCAAGGGAAGGACCTACTCCCAGAGTCTTCCCACAAGGCTCCCTGTACTCAGCATAGGCAGATCTGGTAACCCACACCCAGGTGCATCCTACTAGCACTTCAATTCTAAACTGCATGGCTTGCCAGGGCCTGAGGGCCCATCCCTGAGCCACCAAAACCTTCACTTCCCAAGCCCTCAACACCCTCCTCTCTGGTGGGGCCCCTGACAGAACAGTACAGGTGCACAGAAAGGTGCACAGGACTGGGGCACCTTGGGCTCCTGTCGCAGGCTGTGATTAACAGTGCAGCCTCATGCAAATCGCTCTCCTTTTTTTTTTTTTTTTTTTTTTGCCCTCTGGCCTCAGTTTCTTGCTGGTACACAAGAAAGGATTAGATGACAAGTTTCCCAAAATTCCTCCCTGTCCCCATGCTGGCTTAGAGATGACAGAGCTTCTCTGCTCCGGCCTTACCTTCTTAAGCGCACTGTCCGCCGTCTCCGGACGGCTGATATCAAAGCACAGCAATACGGCGTCTGAGTCGCTGTAGCAGAGTGGACGGACGTTGTCATAGTAGGGAGAGCCTGGTAGGAGGGGAAAAGGCTGATGGTGAGTCATGGCATCTTCCTTCCTCTACAGGCCCCGGTCCAAAGGAGCCCTGGGAATGCCATCCTTGAGCCTCTAGGACCCACCCATCTTCCAGGGGAAACACACTGCAGCCTGTAAGCCTAGGCCACGACCACCTGCCCAAAGTCCTTGCGACTCCCTGAGAAGGGGAAGGAAGGTAAAAAGGGGTGGGGCATGGCGTGAGGCGCTGCCTGGGTTTCCAGCAGTGGGGTCAGCGGAAGGTCCACTTGTTTTCTGCATCTCAAAAGATGCTCCCAACCCCCCAACAGGGAGACCTGCTCTTCTCTGGGGCTCACCTGCAGCCCAACCTCTGCTCCATTCTTCGGCCCCCAGGGCTCCAATGAAGAAACAAGCTGCCTGTTACATAACGGGCAGCGGCCCTGCTTATTTGCTATGGGGTCCAAACTCTAGGAGGCTGGCAGGAGAGGATTCAGCGGCTCCCTCTCCACTTGCCCAAATCTGCTTTACCCTGAAAAGGACCAGAGGCAGGCTTCAGCCCCTACATGCTAAGATGCCAGGGTGGCAACCTCAAAGGCACAGCAGCACCCAACCGCTGGGGATTTAGGCAACAGCAAGGGTCCTTCTTGGGCAAGGAGGCACCAGTGGGCTGACCTGGGTGGATGCTAGGGACGGAGCCTGCCCCTTCTACACCCTGGGGAAGGAATAGTGGCAGATTTGGAATCCAGACAATCCCTGCTCAGAACAGCAAGCAGCCCCTCTCCCTACTCCGCAATTGCCATGGAAACTGGGGGGGAATCCAAGCTTGGGGGGGGGCGTTGGTCATTACAATAAAAGCAGTAAGGGGGAGTTGGGATAGCTGCCCACTCCTTCAGCAATCTGCCCGTATCCCTCTTGGAGCCGGGAGGTGGGGGGTGGTCTTCCCACGGCAAGGCGAAGAGAGCGCTGCAGTCCTGGGGGCGGAGGGAGGGCAGGGCCATCGCTTGGGCTCCAAGCAATCTCCCTCCCCTAAGATGAGCCAGGGACTGATGGGAAGAGGGGGCCCAGCCCCAAGGCTGGGAAGCCCCATCCCGCAGAACTCTGCCACTTCCTCCTTTCTAATGGGGAACCTTATTGAAAGAGGGGGGAGTTTGAGGATGACTGAGAGCCTGCCTGCCTTTGGAAACTGGGGAGTGGGGTTACAACACAGGGAAAGAGAGCTCACTCACCACCTGATTCTCCATTATCGGATTGGGATTCAAGGGCTGCTGCGGGGGGCAGGTGAGGGGTGGGTGAGGAAGCAGCAGAGGTTTTGGGGCGGTGGTAGTGAACGGGAGATGAGCTGCAGTAAGACCGGGAGGTGGGAGGGCACAGCGGAAGAAAAACCATACATCATGCAGCCCTGCATTCCAGTCCCAGCCAACCGGCACAGCAGCGCGGTCCAGGAGCAGACCCCGCCTCCCCACCCCTGGAACCTCCACCTGGGGGAAAGCACACCGGCTTGAGAAATTTCTGTTTGGCGGGGAGGGGGTGGGGGAGCATGAGGAGCAAGGGGAGTCTCATTTTCTGCCCCCCCCACTTCCCTACCCCCAGTCATCTCAACATTGGAGATATTTGGGAGAGCAGGACAGTGTACTAAATATATGTAACATAAACCTCTAGTGATTTGGTGTTCCCCTTTAAACTCAGCCTGAAACTGTATTTGGGGGGAGCAGGGGGGCTTTTTATTTTCTTTTTTCCTGTTCCTGATATTTACTCCTTCATTGTGACTCTCAGCCAGTCTATTAGAAGGAAACCGGGATACAAAGATAGCGGGAGAGGCTAAGGATCAAAGCAAAGGATAGCCGGGCATGAAGGGCTCAGGGCCAGGAGGCTGAGAAACATTGCTTTCTATGTTCTAGAACGACAGCGTCTCCTGCCTCACCCCGGCCAGGGGAAACAGTCAGTGCCAACCAAGCCCCCTCCGCCCCATGAGCCACCTCGCACAGCGGGACTCTGTCCTGTATTAAGCCATCTCCCCCACCCGCCCCAAACACCCGATGATGCATCGTTTCATTCCTGAGCCGCAGCGGTGTGGCGAGCTTGGAGCTGCGGCAGGCAGGGGAGTGTGGAGCCAGAGCAATATTTCCCTCAAGGCAGGCTCCTGTCTCCCTGCCTCTGTCCTGGCTTGGCTGAGGCTATGTGCCTGCGTGTTGGGCGGCAGGCAGTGAAAGGTAGAAGCCCTCTCTGACCGCCCCCCACCAGGAGTATCACTGGCTCCTTCTTCCTCATCAACATCCCAGTCCCATAACTGGCCCCAAAGTGAGTGGCTTCTGGGGTTCACCCATTCTGCAACCCCAGGGCCATCCAACTGCCCCCACCCCACAGATCTCCTTCTCTGCCTGCCCTTGCAAGCGCCACACTCCCTTCTACCACCGCCCACCCCTTAAAAGGTGGCGGCGACCAGCACAGGTACCAAAGGGGCATCTGGGGCCACGTCTTACCCGAAGTGTCCCAGAGGCTGAGCTCTACTCTCTGCTCCTCTGTCTCCAAACAGGCTGTGTAATTCTCAAACACGGTGGGCACGTAGGTCTGAGAAAAGAGAGGGACCAGTGACACCTGGGCACTGGGCCCCTGCCCCCCCCCCCATAATCCTCTGATCAGTGCTGGCCACACCAGAAGCCACCCACCCACCGAAGACATCAAGGTGACAGGAGATCAGGAGCCAGAGGAGGGGATGCATGGTGCAGGGAGGCCCACGTGGGACACGTGGGAAGAAGAGGCTGGAGAGACAGAGGCACTTTGCTGTATGGCAGGAGACATGTGACGGACCCCCAGCCAGAGACAAGCCCCGAACCTAAATGGTCAGGGGCGCACACACTCATATTTGCCTGCCAGTTGCAGCCAATCCTGCCGTGGTCTGCTCTCCCCCTGCAAGCCCCTGGCCCAGGGCAGCAGCATAGAGGAGCAGCAAAACCTGAACCTTCGGGGGGGGGGGGGGGGGGACAGCAGCGATTCAGTCCAGAAACCCCAGACTCAAATGCGTCCAATTCGCTCTCCTGAGAGCAGACTCCGGGGCGGAGGGAGGCGGGCGGGGTTTGATCGGGGCCTTGTGGGTGAGGAGGAGCCAGCGGGGCAGCAGAAGTGGGACAGGTCTCAGGGGGAAGCTAAGGCGGGCGGCCCTCCAGCTCGAGGGCGGCGGGGGATGGCCAGGTGGGGTCTGCGCTCACCTCCGGGTAGCAGTCCTTAGCCAGCACCTGCAGCATCGCCGTCTTCCCGCACTGCACGTCTCCCACTAGGACGAGCTTGCACCTGACCACGACTGGCTGGGGAGTGCGTCTCTCCTTCATGGTCGCAGCCGCCGCGGAACGGGCGCTCAGACGCGGGGAGGTGAAGGTGCCGCTAGGGGCGTCTCAGAATGCGAACTCCACCGGGATCCTCGGCCTCCCTCCGACTGAGCGAGGGGACGGCGCGCGGCCCTTTATATAGGCCTGGCGGAGCCAATCGCAAGAGTAGGCGGGCTCTGTCTCGGCCAATCACCGAGGTGGGATCCCCTCCGGCAGCCAATGGTAGGAGGATCTGAGTCAGCGCCCTCGTCCTCTCTCCCCTTTCTCTTAAAGCTGCACTGTGGCTTCCCCCTGGACAGGGGACTCCCACGCTGTTTTGCATTTGTATTAGGAAGGGGGCAGGAGACTTGCAGCGCGAGGAAGAGATCTTGAGTGTCCATCAGTGAGTGTCAAAAACCATAAACTACCGTGGAAGCAGAAAGTGGGGTGAAGTCAGAGTTGTAGGGACTGTCCCAGGAGAAGAGCAGGAAACTATGGGCAGGCAGGGGGGCGTGGTGGGCAGGGGTGGGGCGGAGGGGGCAGAGATCCCTGCTAGGACTCCTGTACCTATGTTCTAATTCCCATCCAAGCCACTTCCCACCTGTGGGGATGGGACAGAGGGAGAGAAGAAAGCAAACAAAGCCACTGACTATTTGGCCAGCTACCCTCCCACCCAAGGCCTGGCAGCAGCATTTGTTCTGCCTGGGACAGCTTCCTGGATGAATCACACAGGTGCAGGGCCAGGCTGACATCCATGGACACAGACTGCTGTGTGTCACCTGGTTAAAGTCCAGGCTGGAAAGACCAGGCCTGGGACTGGAGCTGCCTACCAGCCCACCCTTTCAGAGCCCAGGTGTCTTTGGGAGCCAGTACACTAAGCAGAACCATGGATGGATGCACACAACTACATGAACCACTGATTATCCAGCAACCTAGACAGGCCCAACAAGGCCTCCTGGGAATTGGGCAAAACAGAGCAATCCAAGGCTCTGTTCAGGTTGCTTCAACTTCCAAACCCTTGCTGCATCTGAACTCCATCATTGCTGCCCCCACCCAGGGACAACTGCCCGTGATAAAGGATGTTTAAATGTCTTCCTTCCAAGGCCCACCGCAGACGGTAGGAGGGTGGAAGTTATTGGACCTAATAGCACCCCACACACACCCACACACACACACACTGAGCTGGGGAGATTCCCCTAAGCTGCCCCCAGGGGAAGGCTGGGACCCACCTAACAAGAGTATGGAACAAAGGCAAGATTTTTGATATGCAAATATCAGACTGCTTCTACATTTCTTCCCTCATTGAATTCCCACCCTCTGGCACTTATAAGCTGATGTCTAACAAGGTTGCTTGGTGGAAGGCTCTGGGGCCAGAGGGACCTGCATGCCCTCCACCCACCTCCAGCTCCACCCACCTCCAAGGGTTAGAATCACCAGAGGGTAGAAAAAGTTAACATAGGCAGTCAAATAGTATTTATTTAAGAGGAAGAGAAGGACAGGCAGGCAAATCCTATTCACTGGTTTCCTCCCCAAATGCCCACAACAGCCAGGTCTGCACCACGCAAAAGCCAAGGGGCCTGGAATTCCGTTCAGGTTGCCCATGTGGATGGCGGAATCCAAGCATTTGGGTCATCTTCCGCTGCTTGCCCAGGCACATTATTAGCAGGAAGCTGGATTGGAAGCATAGAATCCAGGACTAGAACCAGTCTCCCAACTGGAGACTTAGCCTGCTGTACCACAATGCTCACCCGACTAGGTTCTTAAGTGACTTTTACTTTAGGTTCTATTAGCGGAAATGAGTGGAATAGGTCCTTATCCTTATACAAGAAAGAATTCTGGAGCCAGCACTGTGGTGTATCAGGTAAAAAGCCACCGCCTCAGGGCCGGCATCCCATGTGGGTGCCAGTTCAAATCCCAGCTGCTTCTCTTCTGATCCAGCTCTCTGCTATGGCCTGGGAAAACAGTAGAAGATGGCCCAAGTCCTTGGGTCCCTGCACCCACGTGGGAGACCAAGAGGAAGCTCCTGGCTCCTGGCTTTGCATTGGTGCAGCTCCGGCCATTGCAGCCAGTTGAGGAGTGAACCATCAGATGGAAGACTTCTCTCTCTGCCACTCCTTCTCTCTGTGTGTAACTCTGACTTTCAAAAAAAATAAATAAAACTTTTTTAAAAAATAAACAAAGAATTCAAACATGAGACAGAGGGGAGCGGTCAGCAAGGGAGCAAGGTTTAATGGGATAAGGAATCCATCAGAAAGGATGTGAAGGAATCTGAGAAAGAATGCCCAGGCATTCAGATGGGGAAAGTAAGGTTTCATGGTTTGATGGAGAGAATACACCCAACAGACCAGGTGAGCAGCTTAGGAAAGAGCTGAGAGCTGAGCATGCAGTCTGTATCCACGCTTGGGCTTCTAAGAGAATGGGGTCCGCTTCTCTCTCCATTTCTCCTTCCTCCCTCCCTCTTCTGGACAAAGGGTTTCCTGGGTGTGAAATGGGTAAAATTCCTCCCAGAGTTTTATTAACCAATGTAATCAGATTGGGGAGCCCACGCGGGTGCTGGGCAGAGAGCATTCTAGCATTCCTTGAGGGAATACTGGGAGCACATGTGAAGTTATGGTGATATGGGCAGGAACTTGTCGTGTAAAATATTGCATGGCTTCCTTTCCCTTCCTGGGTGCCTTGTTTTCTATAGGCCCCTCCTATACGCATAGGCTAATCTCTTACCTAACAGTTCCACAAGTCTTTATTTATTTGTTAAAGATGGGTTAATTTGTTTGAAAGTCAGAGTTACAGAGGGAGGTAGAGACAGAGAGAGAGGTCTTCCATCTGCTGGTTCACTCCCTAAGTGGCTGCAATGGCCAGGACTGGCCCAGTCTGTCCAGGTCTCCACATGGGTGCAGGGACCTAAGTACTTGAGCCATCTTCCTCTGCTTTCCCAGGTGCCTTATCAGGGCTCTGGATCAGAGTGGAACAGCTGAGACTCAAACTGGCACCCATATGGGATGCCAGTGTCAGAGGTGGTGGCTTAACCAACTGTGCCACAATGCCAGACCCTCTTAATCATTTATTTTTGTTTCTGAAATGCAGAGACAGACAGACAGACTCTGCTTATTCATCTCTTTAAACACCTACCACAGCCAGGACTAGGCCAAGCTGAAACCTAGAGCCCAAAACTCAGTCTAGGTCCTCCATGTGGGCAGCAGGGACCCACCCATCCAAGTCATCTCCACGACCTCCCAGGGTCCACATTAACAGGAAACAGGAATCAGGAATCGGAGGTGGATCCAGCACTCAAACACAGGCACTCCTATCCAGGATATAGGTACTGCAAGTGACACCTTTTTTTTTTTTTTTAAGATTTATTTATCTGAAGGGCAGAGTTACAGAGAGCCAGAGGCAGAGGATGAGAGAGAGAAAGAAAGAGAGAGAGAGAGAGAGCAAGAGCTGGGCTGATTTGAAACCAGGAGCCTAGAGCTTCCTCCAGGTCTCCCCAGTGGGTGCAGGGGCCCAAGGACTTGAGCCATCTTCTACTGCCTTCTACTGCTTTCCCGGGCTGTAGCAGAGAGCTGGATCAGAAGTGGAGCAGCTGGGACTCGAACTGGTGCCCAAAAGGGATGCCGGCACTGCAGGCTTTACTCACTATGCCATATGGGATGCCAGCACTGCAGGTGGCAGCTTTACCGGCTATGCCACAGAGCACCCCCCCCCCAAAAGTGGCATCTTAACCACATCACTGTCGTATCTTTTTTTCTTTTCTTTTCTTGCAATTTATCTGTTGAGGAAATCAGGTTGGCTGTTTTTGTGTCTTCCACATGTTTACATGTGGAATGTATACTCTCTTTATAAATCAAATCCCTAAGCACAAAAAAAAGATGAAAAAGTTGCTGTGGTTGAATGAGGATGGGGATCATGGTATGGGGCTCCCTCAGCCTCCCTACCCTCCTTGGATTCCTTCCAGGAAAGAGCACCAAGGAACATTTTTTTTTTAAAAGATCTATTTATTTATTTATTTATTTGAAAGTCAGAGTTGAAACAGAGAGAGAAGGAGAGGCAGAGAGAGAGAGAGAGAGGTCTTCCATCCACTGGTTCACTCCCCAGTTGGCCGCAACGGCCAGAGCTGAGCTGATCTGAAGCCAGGACCCAGGAGCCAGGAACTTCTTCCGGGTCTCCCACAGTGATGCAGGGGCCCAAGGACTTGGGCCATCTTCTACTGCTTTCCCAGGCTATAGCAGAGAGCTGGATCGGAAGTGGAGCAGCTGGGACTTGAGCCAGTGCCCATATGGGATGCCGGCACTACAGGCGGCAGCTTTACTCACTACGCCACAGCGCTGGCCCCAAGGAACATAACTTTAAAACTTCTAGCCTGGACAATACCTTCTAGTGCAACATAAGACAGAGAGGAGCAGTGTGTGTGGGCCTCATGCTCCAAGCTCAGAGCTGCCTTATCTCTTTTGGTTCTGATTTCCCCCGATAAGTTCCCTATCTGGGACACTAGCAGAATGCACAAAGAAGCCTGAGGAGGTAGCAAATTAAAATTCACCGTGACTCTTACCAGCAGCTACACAAGCCCATGCTCTCTCTGTCCTGAGGATTTTTGCAAAGAGCTCACTGGCACCCTATGCCTTCATCTCCCAGGAGGCCAGCAGGGTAAGGTCCATCCTCCTGTCCCTTGGTCTGATCAGGTGGCCATTCTTCGGGGTGAGCCATTTTTCTCATGAGCACAGGGGTCTCAGCCCCTGGCACTTGGGGACGCTTGATGTAAAATACCTTTTGACAGCTGGTTTTTATCTGGCCCAGCCAACAGAGAGCTGACCAAATTGCTTTGCTTTTTTCTTTTTTTAAGATGTATTTATTGCTGGCTGGCGCCGTGGCTCACTAGGCTAATCCTCCGCCTTGTGGCGCCGGCACACCGGGTTCTAGTCCCGGTCGGGGCGCCGGATTCTGTCCCGGTTGCCCCTCTTCCAGGCCAGCTCTCTGCTGTGGCCAGGGAGTGCAGTGGAGGATGGCCCAAGTCCTTGGGCCCTGCACCCCATGGGAGACCAGGATAAGCACCTGGCTCCTGCCTTCGGATCAGCGCGGTGCGCCGGCCGCAGCGTGCCAGCCGCGGCGGCCATTGGAGAGTGAACCAATGGCAAAGGAAGACCTTTCTCTGTGTCTCTCTCACTGTCCTCTCTGCCTGTCAAAAAAAAAAAAAGATGTATTTATTTATTTGAAAGGCAGAGTTACAGAGAGGCAGAGGCGAGA